ATTTCTCAACTTGAGAAATGGCTTCAGAAATCCAAGAAATTTTTCTATTGTCATTGTTTCAAGCTCCTTTTGTGTATTCATGGAGAATAGCTTGAGTTTTAGAGGCTTCAGGTAGATAGCTCCTATAAAAATTAATCATACTGAGGAATCGGCAAAGTCCAACAATTGTTTCAGGGAGTTTGAAATCCAAAATAGCTTGTACTTGATCAGGCAATGGTTTAGTACCATCGGGTGTGATCAGGTAGCCTAGGAACTGTAGTTTGTGCACACCGAATTCCGACTTTGCAACATTAATGTGAAGTCCATATTTTTCAAGACGGTCAAAAACTAGTTTGAGATGATATTGATGCTCCTCTTCCGAACTTGAAGCTATTAGGCAGTCATCTAGAAATGGAAACACGAAATTCGGGCCATAGAATACTTCATTGACAAATCGTTGAAAAGTACTTGGGGCATTTCGAAGGCCAAAGGGCATTACATTATATTCAAACATACCAAAGGGTGTGGTCACAGCTGTTTTTGGCTTGTTTGCTTCAGCGACGGGAATTTGAAAATAGGCCTTAAATAAATCAATTTTTGAAAAATTGATGTTTTTTATGAAGAATATGTTGAAAATCTATATTTCTTGGTATTGGGTATCTATCTGGAATGGTTTGTGAATTCAGTCTCCTATAATCACCACATGGACGCATTGAGCCATCCTTCTTGGGTGCCAAGTGCAGTGGACTCGACCACTGTGACTTGGAGGGACGTATAATTCCATGATTTAGCATAAATTGAAATTCTTCTTTCGCGATTGCTAATTTCTTCGTATTAAGTGGCCTAGGACAGGAATGAATTGGTTGACCCGTTGTTACAATATGGTGTCGAACATCGTGTTTTACTGCTGTAGGTAGTAAACTTGGTTTAGTTAGATTTGGGTATGATTTTAGTAATTCGGAAAATTTATGTGAATTGGCAACAGTGCTTATAAAATCGCTTGTATCGACTGCTGAAACGTTACCAATAACTCCTAATTTAGTGTTACGGTCAATTAGTTGATTATTTCTTAAATCAACCAAAAGGTTGAAATGGTGTAAAAAATCGGCACCTAGTATACCTTTACTTACTTTGGCTGCGATAAAAGACCATCTGAATTCTCGACAAAGTCCCAAGTTGATATTTAAAACATTTACACCAAACGTGGGAATCTCCATACCATTCGCTGCATACAATTTAAAATCTGAAATGTTATTTCTTTGTGCCTGAGGAGAAACAATGGACACATCTGCTCCACTGTCTACTAAAAATTTCAAACCTGAATTTTTATCTGTTAAAAATAAACGAAACTTATGGCCTCTGATATGATCGTCTGCAGTAGAATGAGCCGCTACTTCTACTACAGTCTCTCGTTTCCCTCCTGATTCCATTGGCAACGTTGGTGGCACTATTCGGGTAGACACCTTTTTCCAAAGCGGTGATGATAAAAACAATATTTTCCATTCGGATTGAAGCGCCCTCGGCTACGACTGCGACTTCGGTTTCTATTGAGAAATTTCCTGTTACTATGGTGATCTGGACAATTACTTAAACTTTTAGAATTCTATTTAGAGGAAATACGGGCATCCATAGCTTCTATTTTGGTAACAACCTGTTTTATTAATTCGTCTGTGCCACTATTTGAACAAGTTTCTGGACAAACTTTAGTACTAGACGTGGCAAAAACATCTCAACGTGAAGCCATGTCCACTATTTTATCTGCCATCATCGCAAGTTTTTCTAAATTTTCATCAGAAACTAAAATTATATTTTTAATTGAGTCAGGAAGTTTATTTAACCATAACGTCCGAAGTACTTTGCATCTTGTATTGAAGTACCTGCCAAGAAAGTCATTTTTCGCAATAATTGATTTGGTTTTAAATCACCGAGGTCTAGACCACCTACTAACCGTTTTATTTGTGATTCTTCACTCTCCTTGCAAAGGCTCAAAAGTCTTGTTTTGGCAAGTGAATATTTTGCTTCATTTTCTGAATCTAGAATATCAACTATATCTGCTACGAATTTCCTATCTAATTGAGATACTAAATAATCAAATTTCGTACCTTCAGTAGTGACTCTGCTTAATTTAAACTGGGCTTCAACTTGTCTGAACCATACATCCGGTCATTCAAGCCAGAATGGTGGTATTTTAACGGAAACTTTGGTTACTTCAAGATATTTTCTTTTGATTGTTGATTTTTGGTCATTTCTGGAACATTCAAGTTGCTTTCGTTCAGCATTCTAATTATTAATCATGTTGGATGGTCACCAATATTACTGGTCGTTTTATTAGTATTATGGGTTAAGTTAAGATTGATTAACTTTAATAAATATCTTAAAGAAAGTTACATATTTTGTTAATCAACACAATTTATTTATAAACACAAGCATTATTTTTTATAACCTTAAAAACATCTGAACACATTATATTATTTACATATGATATTGATTGTTTACCAAATTAAATTAAAATAAAAGGTTTGTCCTGCTTCTACAGCACTCAGTATAGTACTAATACTAACTATATAGTACTAATCACAAGCTGATTTGTCATGTCAAATCGATGTGTACTGCAATAAATATCAAAGAAAATGATTGTGAAAGAGTTGTATATAAATACAAAGGTGTTTTGTTTAGGATTAGCAATAGCTTGTTACAAAACTTCTTATGCAGGAATGCACCTCTATTTCATGCTACATATTTTACATTTTAAACATTATTGAATTATTGAATACTACTCAAAGTAAATTCCATTGTTTTCATTCAACTCCTTTCACCAATCTTTCCCAGGAGGAGGCCAAGTCTCGGTGATGGGATGTAGTGCCATATATCTATGTATGTATGTATGTTCACCCATCTTTCTGCCAGCAATTAGATATCACGCCGGCACTACTCCTTTAGTTTTGAGGCAAAGAACTCTTCGCATCCAACTTTTACGTCCTCGCAATTATCGAAGATCTGACCTTTTAAAAAAAGAGCTGTTGATATAAACAAACCATGATCTTAAGTGCAATATCTGGGCTATACGCAAAATGAGACAAAACATTTACTACTTGCAGTTTCGATAAGTTTTTCTTGGTCAAACGAGAACAAAGTGCAGGGGCATTGACATGTTGCAAAATGGCTTGGTTCCTGTTGACCCCAAAGCGGATTATTTTGCACTCACAAGTGAATGAACTCTATCTAACTGTTCACAATAAAAGTTTGAGTCCAGTCCCTGACCATCAGGAACGAGCTCAAAATACAAAATACTTTCGAAATTCGGTACTTTTTGTCTAGGGAGCCGCTACTGACTGCTATCTGCCAATGTTTCTAACCTGAACACTGATAACTCCCATAACACAGTGATAAGCCTTCTCCTACTTCATATCTTCGTATTATTGTATTAAATCCATATTATTGAAAGTGTATTAATGAAATAATAAAAAACACTTTAAGAAGATATGTACATATAAAACATCAAAATGAAATAATAAAAAAACACATTTAAAAGAACATATTTACATCGGAAAGATAAAATATAAAACATAAAATCTGTTTTATAAAAAGATAAAAAATCCATCTAAATACATAAAACATTCAGGGAAACTCCACCAAACATCCACTGCTGAGGTAAAACTCTCCCCACATGATTTTTTTGTTTAGAAAAATAGACTTTTGTCTACTTCAACCATTTTGCCAGGTCCTCAAATTTTTTTTCTTGACCTGTGTAACATGTCATGAGCACAAACCCCTCTTAGACATTTGTTCCACGTTACCATAGCTCCGTAGGATAGTTTAAGCTGCTCTTTGCCCCACTTCATCGTTATCAAGCTATGGGACCACCCATAAATCAATTTTAAAGCTGAAAGTTTCGTGTCATAAGTCCTACGAAAGCATCTCCATTTGGCCTTCCTGGTTAACTTCATTCGATGACCTCATTCACACGATTTCACTTCGGCAAGTACCCCAACATTTTGAAAATATTAAATTGCCTGTTCTTCATAAGTCCTATGAAAGCATCTCCATTTGGCCTTCTTGGTTAACTTCATTCGATTACCTCATTCACACGATTTCACTTCGGCAAGTACCCCAACATTTTGAAAATATTGAATTGCCTGTTCTTCATAAGTCCTATGAAAGCATCTCCATTTGGCCTTCCTGGTTAACTTCATTCGATTATCTCATTCACACGATTTCACTTCGGCAAGTACCCCAACATTTTGAAAATATTGAATTGGCTGTTCTTCTGAAGGCGGCAAATCCCATATTCTAAGAAGATCCATAATATGATGAAAAAAAATGAAAAATAAACACAAAGGGGACACAAACTAAAAAAAAAAATGTGAAATAAACACAAACGGGCCAAAAACTAAAAATAATGAAAAATAAACACAAACGGGCCGGCCAAAAGTAAAGAATTTAATAAGTGAACGTAATAAGGGAATAACTGAAAACTAAACAATGCAATGACTCAAAAGTTTGGCGGGATAAGAAGAGGGAGGTTATATGATATGAAGTTAGATAAGATAGATAAGAAGTGAGGTTTCAATCCGGCCCGCTAGACACAAAGAACCCGAAATTCCACCAAACACAAAGCATCACTTTTTACCTAAACTGGCGAACCTCTGTTTTGCAGCTTCACCTGGCCGTACCTACTGGTTTCGTTTGCTCAGGTTTTTAAAAATATTCACTTTTTGTCATTTGTGATAACTTTGTTTTCCAAAACCTGTCATCTTTTGGATTTTTAAGAACAATTTTGCTCTGTCAAGGTCAGATATTCATCTTAAATTCCATACATCCAGGTTTTTTTAAATTATGAGCAAATATGACATTGAACGCCCCAACTACAGCTGATACACCACGAGTAGTTTTGATGGGACTGATCTATGGTCAAGAACAATATTTCCCAGTAGTATTCAGTTTGCTTGAACAATTGAATATGAAATACTTTAAAAATAAATTAAAAGCGAAAAACTTTGTTATAATAGAAAAGTATATACCAATATTGGGTTTTTCTTTTTCATAATTAGTTCCAACTTGTTGAACTGTTTCATTGAAGTCATGTGCACATTTATCCACCCGATCTGATTCTACACCAAACTTTCCTCCGAAACCCTATGACAAAAACAGAAAAAAGTATAGGTATATATATTATAAATGACAAGAATATGTTCTGGTTGTGAAATTATGATGAGATGGTTCCAGCGCACTAGTTCGCAAGGAGAGATGTATTAATTATAGTTATTACTATCTCTACAGGAGGCTGTTTTTAAAAAAATATATCCATTTATTTTTCAAAAAAATCATTGATGGAGTTAAATATAATTTTTAAAAAATTATAATTTTTTTGTGAATTTAGACCTTATTTATCAGTACCAAAACGTAACGACTCTATCAGAATACACAAATCCTTTTATATGAGCCTTTCAATTGAAAGAATGATGAACTCCTATTTCAACATTTTCCAGTAGTATTTTTTGTTGAAAATATCTTACATTTTCAAAATCATGCCAGAAGTATTAGTAATTGATAATTGACGGTAAATATTTCTACCATACTTTTGAAAAAAGTTAAAGAATTTTCTAAAGAAGAAACAGAAATATAATTGATACTAACTTAATGAAAAAAAATCTTAAAATTAGAGTTAGTCATTCTGTCAACTGAAAGTCTCATATATAAGAAAATATTTAGTTACAGTAACTGGACAATGTTTTTATTTCACCGAGGAAAAGTTAATCAAAGTACTTAATGATTTAATTTAATGAAATCTTTTTTTTCTTTCCTACTTTGCGTTTTAGGCTATACAGGGTTTTCCCGGGCCAGGGGGCGAGGGCAGAGAATTTAAAATCGCCTCCGGCACCGGGACACGAACTTCGGTTAATCTGGTTGCCAGGCAACTTGTGGTGCTGTGCACATGCGTTAGTCCATTCGGCCACCCTGCCTCCTTAATGGAATCTTACTTGACTATAATTAGTGGACTCTTTGCAATAAACCAATATATAAAAATATCATGCAGCATTACACAATATCACTTACCACCCTGCTTTCAGTAGAAATAGGAAAAAATAAAATTTTATTAAATGTATTAATTTAAAACAATTAATTACCATATATTTTTCAATGCATCTAATCCATTAAATTTATTAATGTTTCCTCACTGTCCATTTTCTTCTAAGGTTATAATTTTATTATCATTTATTATTTATTTAATTATCACAGTGTCACAATGTTTTTAGACCCAAAAGAGTGTCAGTGATAAATGAGGCCACTAAATTTCTTTATATTTCATTGAGGGTATTTTTAATTGTTTAAGTATAAGTATTTATACTATATACTATATATTAATGAAAATTTCACGTTTTTGTTTATAGTATTATCGTAGTCACAATATTCTTCATCTAAGATATAGCATATTATGCATGTGTTTAGGGACAGAACGAGGAACTGTTCGAGCGGGGGAATGGTTAGGAATCTTTGGGGGTCATTCTAAACTACTTGTCAAGCCCGACAGCATTCAAGTATCTTTATTTGTTCTCGGTCCCACCTTAACACTTTTGTCCTTTAATTAATCTTAAAATTCTTTCATAGCTATGTATTTTACCATTTTTTATTATTAGTTGTAATATGAAATGGTTGATTATTTTAAATAAACACAATCAGAGGTACTTTAGATAAAGAAAGTTTTAAACTTTGCCATTTAAGCCCTATCAGGCTGCATCAATGAGAATAAAATCTACCTTAAATTAAAAATCAATTGAAAATACATTGACTTCATGAGTTTAATTGAAATCGTTAGAGCCATTTTAGAGAACATTGTAAAAATGCATAAAATCAATGATATAAAGAGGCACTTCCAGTAAGGTGATTTTGAAAAAAAGTTTGTAATATCCCAGGCATACATAAACATATTACGCATACAATAGCATAATACTGTTGAGCATACTATAACATACTATAGCATAGTACAGCATACTATAACATAGTATAATAGGGCATAGCATAGTACAACATACTATAGCATATTACAGCATACTATAGCATATTACAGCATACTATGTCATAATACAGTATATGATAAAGATTTTTATTTCAAATTGATTTTGCCCACCGAATGTAGAAGAGTCCCTAGGCTAAATCATGGCAAATGATTCTTTTTTTTAATGTAAATTTTAAGCAACCAGTAAACATAAGAGCACTAGTAGTAACTAGATAACCGGGATAAGTATATATTCTTAATTTTATTTATTTAAATTTATTTTATAGAATATCGTTTATTTATTTCTTGCTGATTTTATTATCTCTTTTACAACTACTAAAAACAGAGGAAACTGGTAATATGTTAAAAAATATAATTTAAGATCTGAATTATTTAGCTAAGAGTCTCGTTCCTGTAAAGGGCCCTTCAAAAAAATCTATCATTGTCAATAGCTACTCATTTTCCAAAACTATTAAGCTTCACCTTCTTGAGTCAAGGAAGTCACTATTTTAAAATTACCTAAATTTTGTTTGAAAAAAAGATACAAGAAGTGTTGAATAATGTAGCATAATTAATCTTATAAATCCCTTGAGGTCAAAACAAAACCCATAGAGTTCAACCTTATCAAAATAATTCAATATTATAAAGTACAAAAATATGAAACCAAAATATTTAATAGTACTAAGTACACAAATAGGAAATCATGACATATTGCTCCTTCCGTTAAATAATAATAATAATAATAAGGCTTAGCGAACCCGAAGGTTCGATGCCGACACCACCAATCGCTTGTTACACACCTCCCTCCACCGTCCGCCGTCCAAACCCAGTCCCTTCAGATCGGCTTTAATGCAATCTTCCCATCTTCGCTTCGGTCTACCCCTCGGACGCTTACCATTCGGCACAGCAAATATTAACCTTTTAGGAATTCTCTCGTTACTAAGCCCAACAACTTTACAAACCCATTTGATTCGCCGCGATGAAATTACATCAATTATATTACCCGGATACATCTCACGCAATTCGGCGTTGTGTAACCGTCTGAACTCTCCGGTTAACTCATCCTTTTTCGGTCCGAATATTCTACGCAATACTTTATTTTCAAAAACCTTAAGACGCTGCTCATCCCTTAATGTAAGCGGCCAAGTTTCGCATCCATAAAGAACTGTAGGTAAGATAATTGTTTTATAGATTCTAATTTTTAAGTTTCGGGACAAGAGGCGCGAACTAAGTAGTTTTGTCACAGAAAAATAACAAGCATTCCCCGCCTTCAGTCTAACCTTAATCTCTTCTTCAATTTCGTTTTTTCTAGTTATCGTAGAACCTAGATACCTAAATTTATCTACCTGTTCAAACATATTACCATCTATATCGATATCACCAGTAGTATTGCCATTTTTGCAGCTAACCATATATTTTGTTTTATCCACGTTTATTTCGAGTCCTAGTTCTTTCCCGGCTTTCATTAACGTTGTCGTATTTAGTTTTATAGTTTCAACGTCTTCGCTTAACAGTACCAGATCATCAGCATAGCCCAGCACGGATGTTGTCCCGCCCAGATCTAACCCTTTCTCGGTTCGCATTACCTCCCTAATGGCATATTCTAATGCCAAATTGAACAGGACAGGCGAAAGAGAATCCCCCTGTTTTAAGCCCGAACGAACCTCAAATTTTTCGGACAAATTATTACCGATTCTAACTTTATTGAGTGTCTCCGTCAAGCACATCCTGACTAGATTTACTAGTTTTTTTGGAATCCCCTGCTCGATTAGAATATTATACAGTTTCTGGCGGTCAATAGAATCGTAAGCCTTTTTAAAATCTATATACAGCTGGTGAACAATACCGTTATACTCCAATTTTTTCTCTAATATTTGCCGTAAAGAAAATATTTGATCAATAGTCGAACGATTCCGTCTAAATCCGCATTGGTAGTCTCCGATAATTTCCTCGGCATATTCCGTGATTCGACTGGTTAAGATTAAAGTGAATATTTTATAACATACCGGAAGGAGTGAAATTCCTCGATAGTTATTACAATCCGTCCTCGGACCCTTTTTGTGAATCGGAATAAGAATAGATTCTTTCCATTCTTCAGGTAATTTCTCGTTCACCCAGATCTTTTTAACCAACCGATGTATTTTAGAAACTCCAGCTTCTCCGCATGCCTTAATTAGTTCAGTAGGAATATTATCGATTCCCGCTGCTTTATATGATTTTAATTTTCCGATAGCTACTTCAACTTCCTCTTTACTTGGTCCTTCTATTAACGGTTCAGCACTCTGGTACTCAGAAGGAGGACACAGATCATAATTTCCCGTATTTAAAATATTGTCAAAGTGGTCCTTAAACTTATTCAATATGTCAACCGAATCGGTCAGAATATTGTTATTATCATCCCTAATTCCAGACGTTACGGGCCCTACATATTTACGTGATCTGTTTATACCTTTGTACATGTCTCTTACGTTATTTTCGATTCTATTAGTTTCTATTTCAATTATTTTATTTTTAAGATACTCCCTTTTTTTATTTTTGAGCAATTTTGTCGTTTCGTTCTTTGAGATTCGGAAGTATTCCAGATTGTCTTCGCTAGGATTATTTAGAGATTTTAATTTAGCGGCTTTTCTTTTTTCACACATGTTTAAGCAATCTTCATCAAACCAAGATTTGTTATTCTTATTTTCCTTTTTTCCTAGACACGAGTTACCGACCGTTTTAATATTATCTCTGATCTCTATCCATAACTTGTCAATATCCTCGTGGTCCTCGTCAGGAAGCTCTAAAGCTTCAAACCTATTCTTAACTTCTAGCTCGAATTGGTTTCTAATTGATGGATTTTTTAATTTTTCCAAATTAAAATTCCCAAAATCGAAACGGTTTTCTTTTCTCTTTTTTATATTAAGTTTTTGTCGAAGTTTCGCGATTACTAATTCATGATCCGACCCACATTCTGCTCCGCGATAAGACCGTACATTAATTATACTGCTTTGCCAGCTGTGTTGTATCAAGACATGATCGATTTGATTTCGTGTTTGCGAATCCGGTGATGTCCAAGTATATTTATGAATATCCTTATGTTTAAACGTCGTACTTTTAATTATCAGGTTTTTCGAGATGGCAAAGTTTATCAGACGGATCCCATTATCATTACTATATTCGTGCAAACTTTCTTTACCAATCGTCGGAATATAAACTTCTTCCCTTCCTACCTTTGCGTTCGCGTCACCTACAATTATTTTCATGTAGTTTCGTGGTAGTTTATCATAAACCCATTCGAGTTTATCGTAAAATTCACTTTTGACTTCATCATCACTGTCTTCGGTCGGACAATGTATGTTTATTAATGCGATTTTAAACCAACGTCCCTGAAATGTAGCTACCGAAATTCTATCACTAAAGAATTGTACGTCCCTCAAAGCGGATAGTAATCTACGCCTAATTAGAAACCCGGTACCTAAACAATGATTCTCGCTTCCTCCGTACCAAATAGTGTACTTCCCTTCCCTCATCGAGCCCTCCCCTGGCCAGCGAACCTCTTGCAGAGCCACGACATCCAAATTGTACCCATTTACCTCATTCGCGACCGATTTTAGCCCCCCTGCTGTGTTTAAACTCCTTACGTTCCACGTACCAATATTTAAATCCCTATATTTCAACTTGCGCCATGAATCCCCTAAAGCAGTCCCCACCCGGAGACCCGAACGGGGGACTAGTTTACCTCCGGATAATGAGCGTTTTACCTTAGGGAGATCCATGACTTTTTGTAGTGTTTGGTGAACTAAAGATATGTGAGTAGGGCGTTCAATCCTACGTCACACCCTCCAGCAAGTCTGGTGGGCCCCTACCTCCAGCAAGTCTGGAGGTCCCCTCCCTCCAGCAAGTCTGGAGGGCCCCTCTCATTGTTGGTCAGCGAGTCCATCGGACTTAGCCGGGAGGAACTTCCAAGAAATTTCCACCGACCATCCCCACATCCGCCACCCGTGGGACGCTCCCCATACGCGGTAATGAGCCCGCGCGAGGTGCTCCTTCCGTTATTTTCCAAAATATATTTCAGTATAGAAAATAAATATTGATACAATAAGTCGCTCGTTACCTTACTGTGATCAGTCTGGCTGTGGTGCTGAGCTACACGCTCGATATGGTCCCAGCCTACGGCCGATTTGTCTTGTCTATCAGCTTGAACACCAAACTTTCCTCCAAATCCTACCGCATAGTCTGAAAAATTATAAAAAATTATAATTTCTATGACACAAGAGTAAAAATATGTGTAGTTTTATTTTAGTGAAAAATAGTTTTTTAAATCATGAGGACCAAGTGAGAATTAGAAATAAAATTACGTTAATTACTCAACTTCCTGAAATAGAGGAACAATATAGATTGCTCAACAAAAGCCTGCAAAGATTATCTACATTTTAGATCACAAATAGTGATTTTTAAAAAATGACTGTGCTAAACTTTCTCTCTCATGGTTGAGGTAATTTTATAAAGATGGCTGGGAGCAAGTTTTTACCTGATATTTTTGTTGGTTCAAATATTGAACTGAATCCATAGAAATTCACTGAGTATTTTTAATAACAAATAGTAACAATATTCAAATAATAAAAGAGAGTTCCGATATACAAAATAAAACCATACAACTCTAAGTAACCATATAATTGTAAATTACAAAACTCTAAATAACCATATAATCTAAACAATATATGTACACTCTCATGAAATTAGATTCAATTAAGTCAGAATATAAGAAAACTACAACTAACAGGTTGGAAAGTAAAATTTAAGAGTTTAAATATTGTATAAAGGTGGAACTAAAGTTTATTGGAAAACTTTGATTGGAGTAAAATTATTTTAAAATTTTAATATAGACCCTATCCTTAATATAGACTCTATTTAACCTTATCTCTAATTGTAGTTGCAACTTTTCGAAATATATGTTCAGTCATCAACTGAACTTAGTTAAAATGATATTGTAAGTTTGACTAACCTAAAAATATTGAGCTATGTCAGGTAGGTAAAAATTCTTTGTTAAAATTTTAATTTTAATTTTAATAAATGGCTGATTCAATATGAAACTAAAAATATATATAATACAGGATAAGCCATAACAGAGATATTTTTCTATTTTATTTTATTGTTTTTTTACATTTCAGTTGCTGAAGAGGGAGAACATAACATGTCTGGAAGTAGAAATAAAAATATTTTGAACACTGTCGTGTCTTTAATTGTAGCCTGTGAACAAAGTTGGAGGAGAAATATAATGTAAACAGCCAGAGATATAAACTAATTATCAGGCTTTAATTATGCTATATAAATTGACTTTAAATATAATGTAAACAGCCAGAGATATAAACTAATTAACAGGCTTTAATTATGCTATATAAATTGACTTTAAATATACGACAATTTTGCACTCTTCAATATATAAATAACTTACATTAACAAAGGCAGACCATATTTTTGTAAAAGTTTTAGAAAGTTTCCTAATAATTATATTAATATAATGCAATTTTCATAATCATCCTGTGAAACAAATTAATATATTTTTTTTCAATAATAGATTTAGATAGCATTGAAACAAATAAAAAATAAATAATTTAGGGTTGACCGTTGAAATTGTAAGGATGAAAAATGGTCAGGATGTACAGACTTCTTATTTATTGAATTGTTTTATTTATTTTTACTTTTATCATTGTTTTTTATTGTTTTATTTACTCATCTTTTTCATTTATTTATAGCACGAAAACATTTTATTAGCATATTGTAATGTTTTTATTGTCGATATGTTTATAATACCGTTATATAATTTGTACAATCTACCTTTTTCTACTCTTATTTACATATTTTTATATTTATCATTTTTTCTGATGTAGTTTTATATTTTTTTAATTTTTAGCCTTCATGATGACACACAGGTCAAAACGTAGACAACTCGATAAACATAATTTTTTGACAGCACATCTTGACCATTTTTCATCAATAGAAATCAACAAGAATTATTTAATAAATAAACGGTAAAAAGGAAACCATTTTTCCTGGTAATATTAAAATTATTTCATTCTTATGTTGTATTAATCATTATAATGTTATAAAACAACTCATATAAAAACCTTAGTAAGAAGAATTGTATGGCATTTTTAAGAAAGTATTTTAAATACCATGCACATAATAGCATTCATAAAATACAACAGAAACAAGCAAAAACTGGTTTTTAACTTTATCTCTTACAAAATTCAAAATCTATTCAAATTTAATACTAGAATACAGATTATATAAAGTTGTAGCAATTGGTAGACTTCTTAATGTTACTTTATAGATCTACACATGCATTAATATCAGTAAAACACTAAATAAAAAAAAAAAGATTGATATAATATATAATAACGTACATTAAGATCAGTAAATCGATTAAAAAAGATTGATATAATATATAATAACATGCATTAAGATCAGTAAAATCATAAAAAAAGATTGATATAATATATAATAACATGCATTAAGATCAGTAAAATCATAAAAAAAGATTGATATAATATACAGTAAGATGCATTAAGATTAGTAAAACAATAAAAAAAAAGATTGATATAATATATAATAACACGCATTAAGATCGGTAAAACAATAGAAAAACATTGATATAATATGTAATAACGTGCAATAAGATCAGTAAATCAATAGAAAAAGATTAATATAATATATAATAATCTGTACAGATAAGAGCGATATGCATTTGTAACAACTGAAGGATGTTGTTACAAATCACTCGTAATAAGACATCAACTCGTAATAAATTGCTGAGAGAAAAAGCGTACCACTGCGTACTTGTTGTCACAACACCTTCATACTGAAGAAATAAAGTTGACAAGACAAACTTTCAAATAGGTATGAACTTATTGTATGAAAACATTATTTTATAAATAAAACCAGAGGGTAAGGGAAAAAATGTGATATGAAACTTCATCATTGTTTGGACAAATTCATTGTTATTTTGAAGCTGGTCCTTGAAAATATCTACAAGAACTCACTCAACAACATTTTGTAAGTTTTAATTTAATTTTTTTTTTTTTTTTTGAGATCAATAAGTTTAAATAACATTTGTTGGATTTTTTTCGACTTGTAAATACATAAACTGTATATACATACTACCTGTCATATTTAATTTTGTTTGTCCAGCTGCTGTTAGATGCCATCTGTTTCTGATTTTCATGGTATTCATTATAACGAAGTGTAATAAATAATTAATGTTTGTTTAGTATTTTCTTTGTAAATAGTTTTTCCTCTATGAGCTGATAACATTGAATATCATGATTTTTTAATTGATATATGGTGTACAAGTTTTTATTTCTTTACTGAGTGTGTATAATCCTGATCAAGACATAAAAAAAAATAAGAGAAAGAAATAGAAAAACTGAAAATTCCCAACCCAATATAAAGTAAAAAGAAAAAGCACATAAAAATAATTGGGCATGTTAAAAGAATGGTGCTTGAAAGATAACCAAAATTATTTATGGAACTGCAAATAGAAGGGAGAAGGAAAAGACCAAAGGTAAAATAGAAAGAGGCAGTGGAAGAAAGCTTGGTGGGGCATGACATCAGAGAAGAAAAAACCTTAGATAGAGAAGGTTGGAAGAATATCTTGAATGATATTTAGATCAAGGATAACCACAATAATGGAAAAGTACTTAATAAAAAAACAAAACATATTAACCAAAAAAAAGTAATGAATTTTTTAGAGGTACATATCACACTTATGAGACAATTAATAAAATTACATGCCTATAGAACTTTTAGTTCACAATTAGATAAATTTTAAGTATGCCTAGATAGATAACTGAAACGAATTCTTTACCTTTCTGGGAGGGGTGCTTCTGTGGTGCTTCGATGTGGTCCCAGCCTACAGCCACGCTGTCCTGTCGATCCTTTTCAATTCCAAATTTACCCCCAAAACCACGACTGTAATCTAATCAAATATAACTACATACGTGCTCATATACTATTTCAATATCTACTATACTTCAATTATATTTTACCACATGCTTTTAGAATAGAGTATCAAACATTCCATACTATCATTACAAAGCAAAAACATCAATGTAGCCAAAACAATATACATTTTTAAAGCCATTGCCCACATCACTGTATAAACTTATAAAAGGGAAATACTACACAACAATATTCAACATAAGCATTCTCAACAACAAAATACAAAACTCATTTACTAGTAGACTGATTAAAAGAACTTGATGTGAACATTTTTAAATGTGACAGTATGATGATTAATAAAACAAAAAAAATTAAAAACAAATACATTTCCCAAATATAATGAATATTACGAAACTAGACATGGTGTTTAATATTATAAAAATGGTTAAGGAACACTTTAATAACAAAAAGATTTTTGATTGTGTATGATAGAACACTACTGGATTAAACCAGTGCTTTAGGGTTGAAAAAAGCTAATCTTTATAAGGAATAAAAACAAATAAGTTTTAAACAATAAATTTTATTTTACTTGATGTATAAAACTATACCAGTTTGTGACTCATGCTTGTGTAACTTCTCTACATGGTCCCAGCCGACTGCCGACTTGTCCTGGCGATCAGCTTCAACACCAAATTTGCCCCCGAAGCCAGTCCTGTAATCCGTTTGGGAAGCATGCTTTTGGATGGCTTCCTTGTGTTCCCAACTTAGCGCGCTCTAAACAATAAAAAATTCAATTTATAACATTCTTAAATAAATCATGGTTCTTATTTATTACATTATAACTAACTAGCTGGCCCGCATAAATTATTGGTTAGTGAACAAATGATAAAATAGTATGCAAATATGTTAATGTAATATATTATCAGGTGGAGGCATACATTTCCTTTTCTTGGTCGAATTAAAATAGATAATTCATAAAAATAAATCAAAACTTTTTTACAGTTTACTGTAGTCAATATCTTTGCTCACAATGTTCCAATTTCGATACATATTTTTTTGTGTTTGTTTTTATTTTCAACATTTTTTTTCTGTGATGTTGGGGGTTGTGTTTAGACAATCTTTAAAATTATGGCCCAATAATCGGAACTAACAAAAATATGGCAAAATAAAACACCAGTAGGAAATAAAAGATAGTATATATTGTATTTATCTCTAACAATGGGGACTTTCATACCACTTACTGGTCATTTTAGCTCTAACACGATATTTTTATTATATAATATAAAAAATAACAGTAAACTTGAAGGTAGAAAACATTAATATTTAAAAAAAAAAAAGAAATTGTTACATAGTTGTGTTTTTTTAATAAATAAAAATAATTTGTTGCCATCTTCATGTTGTTTTTCCACATTTCAGCAATATTATTTCCAAATTCCACTTCTTTACAATATTCTTTATAGACACAACGCTCAGTCTAGCTGATATTAACAACGCATGAAAGAAACTCAGGGGATGCTCCCTTTGTCAATATGCTTTCATTTGTTAGCCCTAAGTGTTCGATTCGCAGTTTTGCTAGGCTTATCTCTTTTATTGTTGTAAACTGTAGGTGCACCCGATTTGTAACTACAGAGGGCTGGACATTCTAATTTGTATATTAATTGGAATCCATGACAACAGTGGCATCAAGATTTCCAATCGCAGGTATAAAGTTGGGCTCAAATAATAACTGGAAAACTGTACATTTTAGGGCTTTAAAAGGCAATTACTTAATCTTAAAAACTGTCAGAGTTATCCTTTAATCCATAAAAATCAGAAATTATGAAAGTAGTTTATGTGTAAAAATGATAATTAATATTTTATAATACTTCATTGAAAACAATATTAGAAGCAATAATACATAAAATACAATAGGCTGTATCTTTGTAAATAATAGTCCAATATCTCTGTTGTTTTTGCTTCCTCACTACCGAAGGTAGGGAAGCATTGTGTTCGTGCGAGAGATTAAAAAATGTTTTTTGCTCAGAATCGAAAATTTTCACTCGCGTTTTACGTTCCAGACATCAAGGATCAAATTTGGTTCGGTGTCTGTCTGTCTGTAGTCAATCGATGTGACGGGCATATCACCTAGTACCGTTCATCCAATCTTCATGAAATTTTCAGAGATTATGCTGATTGGTGCCTAGATGGTCCCATATCAATTTTATCAAATTCCATCTAGCACTTCCGCTTACGCACGCACAAACGTACATTTTTAGATATGTCAATATTTCAGAAAGGGCTCGTTCGATTTGGCTCAAAGTTAGATAAAAGGTAGACTTTGGTGAAAAAATAATGTAGTGTCAATTTCAATGAATTGTGTCCAACACTTTCTCTTATATGTGCACTACTAGTCCGCCGTCCGTGCATTTTTTCTGAAACTACTAGACCGATTTTTTTCCAATTTGGATATAAAATCAGAGGTCACCGGAGGATCATCCTCCTTCAACGACATTACTATTCGCCTTCTAGTTTCAAAATGGCGGCCGAAAAACCTGCGTTGCTATAGACTGTAGCGCCTAAACGAATGTACCGATTTTGATGAAACTTCGCTAAAGTCATTTTCTCCACGCCCTCTAAATTTATCTATACTACATACTTCAACGAAAAGAAGCTCAAAAAAAATTACGAGGGATGGTAAAATTAAATTCCGAATAACTCAAGAAGTATACACATTTATGTCAATATTGTATATGTTTTTTTAGAAGTTTACGGAATTTCCTAAAAAAAAAAAAAAATTCGTCAAAATCGGACAATTAGGAGCAAAGATATGGTCTCTAGTTTTTTTTAGATGTGCTATTGCAAAAGGTTTATCTTTTTTTTTTTATTTCCTAATGTGTTACTGAAGTAATGCTATTTTTTTTAGCATATTACTAATGATTAAAAAAATTTTTAGTGCAATAATTAGAATTACCTTTTATTTATTTTTCTTTATAACTAGGAATTTAATGTTACTTTATATGTATAATTGTTTGGAAATAATATAGCAAAGAGAAATAATTTGCAGTGGTTTTTTTCAAATCTTTCGTGCTGAAGCCTCCTCCAAAATTAAATCTTGATTCGGTAATGTATATAATATTATTAGAGCATAAGTTCGTATGAAATAATTTTCAACTTTAATTCTATGTGTATTAAAGGTGATATTTTGTAGTCTGCAACTGATATAAGTAGTCTGCTATTATGGAAAATAGCAGATGAAAATAAAATATGAAATTATTCTAATAAAGCATAAAGAAATATTGAGTTTTTATGCACTCTAGTAAAACAATAAATAAATTTATACTGGTTGTGGGAAGTAACTGTTTCCTGCACAAGTTAGTGCATCTAGAAACATGGAGGAAATTCGGATAGAATGAATCCATTACAAGCTCTCAGATCGATCATGTACTCGTCAGAGCCAGCAATAAATCATCATTACTTGATGTTCGCACAAAACGAGGGGCTAACATTGACTAAGACCACTACCTTATAATTGCGAAATTAAGGTGTCGGATATCAAGAGTGAAGTACCAGCCTCGTCATTCTCTGGCAAAGTACAATATTGAAATGTTAAAGGACGGTGACACAAGCCGTAGATTCTCACAGCAATTGGACATCAGATTAAGGAGCTCTGTTCCAGAATCAAACCTCGAGACACAATGGAACTCTTGTCGCACTTTTGTTGTAGGTTTAGAGGTTGTTGGTGATAAGACCAAGCAGAGATATAACCCGTGGTTCGATAACGAATGTGCTGCTGTGAACAAGAGAAAAAACATCGCATACAATAAAATGATGCAAAAAAACCACACACAGAGCTCTGTCGAGGAATACAAAGCAACGAGAAGGCGTGAGAGGCATGTCCATAGGAGGAAGAAAAGACGATGGGAGAGTAAGAGACTACAGGAGATATAAGAGGCTTTCATTTCCAAAAATACTAAAGAATTCTTCCAGGTTGTTAATAAAGGAAGAAGGCCCCTTCATCGCCCGTACTACAGGATGCAGAGCAAACAATGGTTCTTTGGTAATTGATAAACAAGGCATTTCAGAACGATGGGCTGAATATTTTTCAACCCTTCTTAACAGGAATGGCACAAATGCTTCAGAGACGAATGATCCAATTGCAGGTGGTGAAGACGTAGAAACCCCAGACGAGGATCAAATCAATGAAGTCATAGAAGAATTAAAAAGCAATAGAGCTCCAGGCATTGATAACATCCCTGCAGAGTTCTATAAGCATGGTAATCAAGAACTCATACAACTCCTCCAGGAAATGTGTCATGCTGTTTGGGTTGATAAAGAGCTTCCAAGGGATTGGAAAAAATCCATTATATGCCCAGTGTACAAAAAAGGGGATGTCTATCAATGTAATAATTACAGGGGTATATGCCTTCTACCCACCGTCTATAAAATTTTTTCAAAGATTCTTTATAGAAGTTATTATTATAGAATAATAACTTATGCCGAGGTTGAAATTGGAAAATACCAGGCCGGATTCATTAAGGGTAAATCAACAATAGATCAAATATTCACCTTGCGAATTCTTCTGGAGAAAATCAAAGAATAGCAAATTGGTACACATCACATCTTCATTGATTTCAAGCAAGCATATGATTCCATAAACCGTGACTAAGCATACAAAGCAATGATAGAAATTAATGTACCTACAAAACTTGTAAGGCTTGTAAGAATGACAAAGGAGGATAATGAGTGTTTCGTACGAGCACAAGGTGATTTATCAAAGGGGTTTAGAACATCGACAGGTGTAAGGCAGGGAGACGCTCTGGCATGTCTGGTATTCAACTTTACTCTTGAAAAAGTCATAAGGGATTCTGGTATCCAGACTACAGGAACCCTTCTAAATCGAATGACCCAAATACTTGGATATGCGGATGATATTGATATAATGGTAAGATTGTTTGCAGCAGTACAAGAAGCTTTTACAAGCCTGGAAGAGACGGCAGCCAAAATCGTTCTTATTATGAATGCATCCAAAACAAAATATATGTCCACCTTATCTTCACGTCTAACAAGGGAAAACCAAGCATGGCTGGAACAGCGTGGAACCGAGAATGTTGATGAATTTGTATATCTGGGGTCACTGATAAATTCACGAAATAACATTGATTACAAGATAGACAGGAGGATTGCAGTGGCTAATCGGTGCTATTTCTCATTCCAGAGGCATCTTCGCAGTAGAATGTTGTCGAGACAGGCCAAAATAAGAATATATAAAACACTCATTAGACCAGTACTCACACATGGCTGTGAGAGTTGGACCTTAACTAAAACACTTGAGAAATCCCTGCTCAGACTTGAAAGGAGGATTATACGACGCATATTCGGAGGAGTCCAGGAAACACCACATAATTGGAGAAGAACGAATATAGAAATCAAGACATTATTTAATGACCTGGATGTGAGCCAATTCACCTTACTGGCAAGACAACGCTGGACAGGACATGCCGTGCATATGGATATCAATGCACAGCCCACAGAGAGCTATGAGCGAGCCTGTATATGGAAACAGACGAGTGGGAAGACCATGTTTGCGCTGGCAAGACTGTGTGGCTGCTGATGCATGTAGACTACTTGGTGTCAGAAATTGGAAGGCTGCAGCAACTAACCGAGAGAACTGGAGATCCATGTTGGAGCAGGCGAAGTCTCGATTGATTGAGATGTAGCGCTATTTAATAATAATATAATCATACTGACCTTTTCAATCCTAAAAGTTTGAATGCTATGTTATACTGACCTTATCTATCTAATCAGTTTGAACACCATATTGTATTAACCTTATCAATCCAATCAGTTTGAACACCATATTGTATTAACCTTGTCAATCTAATCAGTTTGAACACCATATTGTACTGACCTTATCTATCCTATCAGTTTGAACGCCATACTTCCCTCCAAAGCCTGCGCTATAATCTTTCTGTGATGCATGTTTTTCCACTTTGGCAACATAATCATGACCAACAGCAGAAGAGTCCATACTGAAACAATAAAATTTTTAAAATGAGAAATGATTTAATCTACCAAAACTAGAATAGATGATTTTTTACTTCCTTAATTGCATGTTAGTATTAGTACCTTGAATAAGTTCTCTGATTTTTCGAGAAAATAAATACTTTATTTAAAGTAAGCGGTAAAAAACATGTCGCTCAAAGTATTGCCAATTACTAGCCACTACTTTCTCTTATCTTTCTGATACCATATGAATTCCACATCAGAAAAACAACTCGTCTTTTAAGGCTATCTAAGAATCCACCCAATTTTTTCATAAAAAAGAAAGTGCTGTTCAGCCAAGCCATATACCATAGAATGAAATAATTGATAATTGGAATAGGCTACATCACGTGAATATGAGGGGTGGGGCAGGCTTCCTGTCTAGGTGTTTCCATGTAGGTTTTTACCAGTTTCGCAACTTCTGACTGGGCGTTGTCAAGAAATAAAATCTCCTTGTCATATTGCAGCCATTTTTCCTAAATGAATCAGCTGAAAAGTATCAATTGTAGTCGACAATGACCTGTTATAGTTTTGTTCGGTTTGAACAGCTCATAATAAATTACACCATGGTAATCCTACTAAATGCAGAGGGGAAACCTGAGAAGAGGACAGGCTAAATCCACAATTAATCTTAGGATTATCATTCTGTATCTATTCCTCATCACTAGTTACGATAGAAAGTAGAAAACATTTCTTTTTCTGCCAGTAAAGCAATAGACAACTTGAAAAATGTTTATTCAAATCCTTGCTTCGAAATCATTCTTACTTAATGCTTTCAAACCTTTCGAAACAGTTGTGCCATCTATGATCGATTATTTTTCAAGTTGAGCTAGCGTTTGGCATGGGTTTTCAAGAGGTGATTTCTTATCACAGCATCTTTGTGGAAAACGCAATTGACCACTAAGCCAACATTTTGACGGATCTGAAATTTCCTAACTTTCAACTCAACAAGAATAACAGCTGAAGAGATTACTTATCTTATAAAGCCAAAAACAAGGTTGACTCCTGCCCCTCCTTCCTCTTCAGGAGACACATACAAATCAAAATGCAGAAATCTTTCTTGAATAAAACCTTCCTTGATCTAAATGTTTGAATAAATGCCATCTTCCCCCTTCTTGGACATTGTAGGTTCACTAGTTAAGATATTTCTATACTCATCTATAAAAAGGACTGGTATGGTTTTATAAAATATTATCAAATTGACAGTATATAAAGAAAAATAAAAACTTATTCTTATTTCTATTTTAATTTTATTTTATAGGCTGGAAGAAGGTCTACTACAACTGGTAATAATTTTTCAAAGCAGATGCTCTTCAAGGATATAATAACAAGTCACAATAGAAAAGATAAATGAAGCGAGCCTTTTTTAAAGATTGGTAATTTGAGGTCAGAATATAAAACCATACTCAACAACTCACAAATTGAAATGGACCACTTACAAACATATTCTTTATTTTCTTTTGCAACAAGGAATTGATTTTTTTTCTAATTTTGAATATACTATATACTATTAAATAACATATTCACTATTCTTATTTTAATCTTAATCTTAAAAAGGATTAATGAAAATAAAAATAAAAGCAAATTCATTTTAAATATAAAATTTGGTTTCTATCTTAATTTAATTACCTAAAGAAAGGAATATCAGTATTTCACCATTAGCATTCATTCAGCAGGTACACTAGAGACATTTTTTAATAAATTTACAAAAAATTACTGGTGAAGAAGAAATATGGAAGGCTTGGCTTTCTTTTAGATTGCTCTCACACAATTATCGGAAGAAACTGGTCATGATATCAGAAAACTGGATATGATCAGAAAACCACAAACATGATTATAGCTCCCTCCGCAACAAGGCTATACAGTAGGCAAGCTAAAGTATCAGACTGATACTCCTACAGGGGAGAAACAAACTCCTTCACCATGTCGAAGCCAATCAGGATGGATCAGGCACTGTCATTCATCATCAATTTAGTTAGGCAACTTCTGGAGAAATACCATCCCTCTCAACACTATCTCAAGGTGACTTTAAATCAATTAATAAATTATGTTTGATTAATTTATTCTCTATTTCTTTTTTATTTTAGATAACTTAACAAGATTTTTAACTTCATTATATTTTTAACAAAATGTAATTTAAAAAAAATTAATTGATCAAAACAAATAACAGACGATTAATAACTACGGAACTGAAAATTATATTATCAAAAATAAAGGAAGAAAATAATCTTACCGGTCTTTTTCAATGCCAAATTTGCCTCCATATCCAAAAGCAGCTCTTCCTTCTTCAAGTTGTTTCTTCTTCTGAATTGCATCAGCGGCAGTAACCTCTTCCCTCAATTTATTCATACTGTACAAATCATATATTTTCTTAAATTAGTTAATATTAAACCAAAATATAACTAAAAACTGTTTCTGTAAGAACAGTTGAATAGGTGGCATCACTACCAGCAATTTGCGTACATTTAGAAGTATTTAAATCTCCAAATATAATCAAAATAGAAACTGTAACAACTAAATTTTCACTTGTCAAGAATAACTATGTATGCCCTCCTCTATTGTATAGATAATGTAAAGAATTTCTTTCATTTTAAATTTGTTTTTGTTTTGTATTGGGTTGGCAAATAAGTCCTTCAGTTTTTCATGGTGAAATAAAACTTAATGTATTATAAACATCAGATGTATTTTAATCTACAATATATTGACCATTATTTAATACGACTTTTTTCCCATCTTTTCACTAATTGCATAATAACATTCCATAGAATGTCTGGAGTTTATTGTTAGAAAACTGACCCAAGTGGTTTTTGATGTCCTCTTCCTTTTGGAATTTCTTTCCATTCATTGACTTCTGCAGAGAACGGAATAAGTAGTAGCCACTTGGAGCTAGGTCTGGTGAACAAGGAGGGTGGGGCAAAAGGTCCAAGGCTCAATAATTTATTGTGAGTGAACAATGAGGTGTGGGGCGTAGCGTTGTCTTGGTGGAACACAACACCCTTCCGATCATTCATAACTCTTCAGGATATTCTCCAAATTCGATGTTACTATATCCGTTGGAAAGCTTAATTATTGCTCTTCAGAACCGTATGAATGTTTTTTTAATTAATGCTGACATAAATAATAAATAAGCAGAAACTCCTTATAGGTTTTTATTTTGTCGAAAGTCCTGTTGATGTAATTTTGTGTAGTTTATGTGGCCCTAAATTCCTGCTAAATTTCTTGTAGATAGCTAAAGTGGTATTGAAGTTATAACAATTTTTACGATTTTCGAAAAAAAATCATGGGAGGGATCCAAACATTAAGCCTATTAACATAGCCGAGCTTGTGCAAATGGTTTTCAACACTTGTGTCAGACACATTTAGGGCCATAGCAATCTCTTGTACTGATTGGGTGGAATTTTGATGAACAATGGCCTTAACATTGCTTGTTTCAATTTCATGCGGATGACCAGACCGTTTAGCATGTTTGATGTCAAAATTTTCTGAATGGAATTTGGCAAACCAATTTTGGCAGGTGTGTTTGGTTAAGACATCATTCCCATAAACACTGAAAAGTTTTCTAAGAGCTTCTGCAGCACGCTTACCTTTTTTAAGATAATACAACAAAATATAACGATAATGAATGATATTTTCTTCCATATTCACAGTGTAATAGCAAAAACACAATACTAAGCTAGTTGCAACAAGAGCTAACAGATATAGTTATTGATATATTACAAACAGGATAAACATTCCACCTTAGGGATTAATTCATCAGATAAGAAGTGTATCATAGTTATAAAAATAAACAGAAAAACCGAAAGGACTTATTTGCCAACGCAATACTACAACACAAAAATAAACATAACTACATAACATCAACAATACCTGACAACTTAAGAATAAATTAAGCAAGTAGCAACTATAAAAATGAGTAGTGTAGGATTTATGTCCTTTAGCATATTGTTTTCTAAAAAATTAAGCTGCTTAAAAAACTATCAGGGAATAATACAAGAGTCACAAGGACAACTTCAGGAGTATGGTAATAATTAGAGCTTGGATTTCCATGCCATTGAACATTTTATTCACTTGTATGCAAAAGCTGTAAAATTAATTTATTATTCCTATCACTATCTATGAAATATTATGGTGGTAAATTAGTCATGAGTGTTATATAATTTGAAAATTGACTTATAATTAAAAGAAAACATGATTTGAGATACCTTAGGAAGTATCACATTATAAAGTTTCAAGCTGTTAATAATGGATATCACAATGAAATTACAGAAATAATAAAAGTAATTTTAGTTCTATAAAGTAAAAACAACACACCACTATATTGGAATTAATAAACAAACAAACTATATTTAAGTGATGCCTAGAGAAATAAAGAAGTGTTACCAAAACTAACTTACTGAAATTGTTTCAAAAAAAATTCTTATGACAACTCATACACTACTCAAACACAATTCTTGTCTATTTAGTATAGTTTGTAATATTAGTAGGGTGTTCCATAAGTTCTTTCCTTTTTCTTTATTGGTTGTTTGAGGATGTTTTACTGAGTTGTTTATGAACTGATATGTTCTATTACCTTCTTTCAGGAAGCTTCTTATAAATTTTTTCCAAAATTGTTGAGACTGATGCATTTTTATTTTGCTTTCAGATTTGTGACATTTATTATGGAGAATTTTTTTAACAAAATAAACAAGTAATAAAGGGATGTGGCGTGATCTGGTGAGTACAGAGGATGAAATAGAAAGCCCCAATTAAACTGTAATACGTTCTGCCTCAAGAACCACGAAAAATGTGGCAATAGCCATAAGGCAGAGTATGTTACAGTTTTACTGGGACTTTCTACTTCATCTCCTATACTCCCCACACCTTGCCCCATCTGGTATTTATTTATTTCATAGATTAAAACATTCTCTCCATAGTAAATGTCACACATCTGAAAGTGAAATAAAAACCCATCTCGATGAATATTTTGCAAGTAGGTCTCAACAATTTTAGAAAAAGGGTATAAGAGGGTTTTTGAGACATGGAAGAAGGCAATAGAGCAAGAACGGTTCATATATAACTCAGAAAATCAACCTTTAACGACAAATAAAGAAAAAGGGAAGAACTTATGGGACACCCTAATATATCATGAAAAATAAATAAATAGAAAGACCATCCCCTATATTCGTAAGTAATATTACAAACATATTTAGATATTGAAATATAGAATATATTTTGAACTGAGAATGTTTATATAAACAGTAAGCTATGATTTATCCCAAGCAAAGGAATACGTAATCATATGAGCCTAATATGAAATATTAAGAAACATGTAGAAAACTCAACGGTTCAACAACAATAGAACAAGTTCCTAAACTCAAAGCGTTGAGGTCATACCATAGCTTAGGTCATGGCAGCCTATTGCCCAGCTTAGAGAAAGATCCAATGTAATCTATCAGGAAACAACTGAGTTTAGGAACTGTCCACACTACTACATCATAGACAATAGTACACATATTTCTGTAATATAATTATTAATCAATCTCAATGCTGTTTGAACAATACAGGAAAAGAAAAAATATTTCTTCTCAGATAATCAAGAACTAACATTTCAACTGTCAAAATTATATTGTACTTTAATAAGCACCTAGAAACTCAGAAATAACAATCTATAATAGCATGAGGGACAAGAGCAGACCATAAAGAACTTACTCAATAGAACTGACAGTTCTTCCAGAACCACTGATGGTTTTTGAACCCCATCTTTGTTCTTCTTCGGAAACATCATTAATAAAATCTGGATCTGTTTCCCAATCATCATCAGGATTGGCGATAACTTCTAATTTGGCTCCTCCTGAAGCTTTCCACATTTTGACGATGACTTGTTATCATCTATAAACACTGAGGCGAGGATAAAATTAATAAACAAACGATATTCAAAAGCCACATTTAAGATCGGTAATCGGTCACAATTAGTCACCTCTAAACTAAAAGCACTTACCTCAAGCTCTCAAACCCTTATCAACAACTCGATTCGTAAACAGTTATGCAACCTCTCGGCCTCTTCATTCGGATAACAATTTATTTGCTAAATAGTTTATTAAAAAATTGCAAAGACAAAAATCGGTTCTTATTACATGCCCAAATGTTAGACGATTCCAAACGCATCTTTGTTAAGGTAAAATATTATAAGCTATCCCTGTATCTACTTATAAAATAGGGAGTGGCTTTGAACACCCAAGATAACGTGCATTGTTCTGGGATTAATCACAGATCAACTATGAACTGATTACTGTTTTCACTTAAAATACCTGAGTCACCTAAAACATCGTTTTATATAGGATAGGCAACAGTAAGGGTGTACAATTTTATTCAGTTTTATTAGATCAGTCACGTAATGAAAAAAAATGAACCTGAGCAGTTAACTAGAATAATTTTACTTTCTGACTTGATTATTTTTTAAATCGAGGCATTCAGCCCAAATGAACTCGCTAAAAAACTAAATATTAATTTTTTTTAAATCGAGGCATTCAGCCCAAATGAACTCGCTAAAAAACTAAATATTAATTTCTAAAATTACAAGAAGATTAGATTCTAATTATATATTTTCAATATGAATAAAGGTATCTCAGAAATATTCAAAATAAACTATTTGGTTACAACATTTAACTTTGCTAAGAGTTATTAAATGAAAACAATTAAGTATTTTCCATGGACGACTGAATAGTAAGGTTGGTAGGCTTGGGTGGAGGTACCTCTAAGCTGTTATCTTTAAAATCTTCATACATTGATGATATTCAATAAGTTAGATAAAATGAGATTTATGTACATTAAATACACAAATCACCTAAATTCAAAGCCAAAATTAAGTAATTGCCACCTGCTGGCGGCCGGCACTACAGTGGCTTAATATTACAGTGCGGCCGATGTGGCGGCAATTCTTTACATGTGATAACTAAAATTGTCAAGTTGTAGTGACTATTTTACGTTAATTATTATTCATAAAAAGGATTTTTTTATACCATTCTTGGTCTTGGTCTTGCCATTTATTATTTATCAGTTAGGCGGCCTTAGTCTTGGTCTTGCAAAGTGCATGACCAAGACCGATTTTTGACAACACTAACTATTATAAATCCACTATTATTACAAATTTAAATAAAAATATTCAATTAAAACTACTTATTAATAAACTAAATCTATCCCTAAAACAAAAAAATTAAACTTATAAACTAAAATATTGCTAATAAAATTTAACAGTTTTGAGGTAGCTATAGAGCAAGCAGGTAACAAGGGACGATCCAAGATGGGCAACCAATCAAAAAGTGAAACCATATGGCCGCACTTTATTATTAAGCCACTGTAGCCAACACTAACCAAAGACCCCTCCTCTGGCAAGTAGTGGGATTACCCGATGGTAGGGATGGGTCGGATTGTATGTATCAGATACTTTTATCTGATACTAAAAAAGTATCTGATACAACCAGTAGATACAACCAAAAAGTATCTGATACAAAAGTATCACATGGATACAAAATGGTTGTCCAGACATGCCACATTGATATAAGAGAAATGTTTAGTTATAATTTTAGTTGTGCACAATTTCTTTAGAACTATCTATTCATTTAGTTTAATTTAATTAAATATTTATTTGTAGATAAATATATTCACGCTTATTTTATTTTTTCTATGTAATGTTAATTTCGGAAATTTTTATCTGATACTGCTATCGGATATTTTTATCTGATACTAGTATCAGATACTTTTATCTGATATTTGTATCAGATATTTTTATCTGATATTTGTATCGGATATTTGTATCTGATATTTGTATCGGATATTTTTATCTGATATTTGTATCAGATATTTTTATCTGATACCCGCATCGGATACTTTTATCTGATATTTTTATCTGATACCTGGACTAGATACCAGTATGCATACTGGCGCTTGGGCTTATTAGTTAATATATTATAGTTCTTATGACTTTATAGTTATGTCAGGTACTATGAAGATATTCACACAGTTTTTTAAACAAAATGTGCTTCATATTTGACAAAAGAATGGAATATATTAAATAAAAATATAACAAATTCATGCAGAGAAAATATTTTTCTAATACAACGTTCTTAAGAATTTTGTAACAATTGAAAAAATTCTTAATAGCTAAGTTTAACATACTCACACACACATATATATCTTTTATTTTCACCGATCAATCTACATCTTGGGATTTAGATTATATAGGACTTGTATAATGTTTACAATACTATTATTGTATTCTTTGAACATATTAAATTACATATGTAAATCATTTAAAGTAAATATTTATCTACTCTTTTATTATTATTTTTTTCATTAATACAATGGCATGACAACAAAAGTAATTTGTCGTTCATTTCAAATTTCATTTAAAATTCCATAGTTTATTGTTTTTAGTAACTATCTTGCTGTATTGGGACCTTATTGCTCATGTTATGTCTTTAATATATCAGTATAGTTATGTAAATCCTTCTGTTATTACTTATTTTTTAGTTTTTTTGTGTATTTTTTTTTATTGTAATATGCATTTTGGCCAGATGTTATGTTAATTTTTATGTACAATATTGTTATTCTCAAGGGACTTTGTCCCAGAATAAAGTTGATTCTTCTATTCTATATATATATTTATTTTTTCTGTTTGTATTACAGACCATGTAGATCTTTTGCCACCTTAACAAGTATGGTCAATCTCTGCCTGTCTTGGGCTATTTTTTTCCATTTATCTGCATGCAGCTCTATTGTGTCTGTGTTGATTCTATCTATCCATCTGCTTTTTGGCCTTCGACGTGGTCTTTTGCCTATTATTGAGGCATAGATTCAAAAATATAGCTTTCCCTTCAGAAAAAACAGCCGAAACAGCAAAAAAAAAGTAAAAAAGCTTGTTTTTTTTAAATATAATTCATAAGTTTTTCTGAAGGGAAAGCTATATTTTTGAATCTGGGGTCGAGGAACGTAGCTGTAACAAGGGTTTTGCTTCCCTGCAACATTCCTACAATTTTCCATTTCTGTCAAAAATTGTTAGACAAAAATTTTGCACAGTGGCAACATCAGTGCTATGTGAAAGGGATTTTTGTAAAACCGGCAATATTTTAAACGAAAGGAGGGCTCAGCTGTCCTCAGAAAAAGTAAAAAAGCTAGTTTTTTTGAAATATAATTCATAAGTTTATTGATTGTAAAGTATTTATTACAGGGACAAATATGGCACTAAAGGAATAAAATATATATCGGCACATATTTAATATATATTTTATTGTCCAGTAACTAGTATCAATCCAATGCTTAATTTAATGAGATATGTATAAAAAATATTAATATTTACATTAATATTTACCTGTCAGCTACTTATTTTAATTAAGATTTTATTGAAGTTGTTAAATAATTTGTTTTGATGTAAATATGTTTACCACAAAGTTAATAAATGTTTGTTTTTATAAAGTCAAAAGTCTTTATCGGCAGTGAAATTAATTATTCTAATATGTCGATAACATTCTCCTTAATTTCATTTCATTTCAAACTAATTAAGTTAAAAGTTCAAATTTTTCTAAGCTATTTTTGTTTTATATATATCTGGGATCAGAGTACTGACACATGGAGAAGAAAGACCAATAAAGAACTGCTTCCAGAAATATGGTCAATCAATCTCCCATGATATGAAGGCACAGAGATAAAGATGGACGGGCCATGTAGCTCCTACCTTAACAATGAAAGCCTCAATAGTAGGCAAAAGACCATGTCGAAGGCCAAAAAGCAGATGGATAGATAGAATCAACAAAGACACAATAGAGCTGCGTGCAGATAAATGGAAAAAAGTAGCCCAAGACAGGCAGAGATTTACCATACTTGTTAAGGTGGCAAAAGATCTACATGGTCTGTAATACAAACAGAAAAAATAAATATATATATAGAATAGAAGAATCAAAGAATCAACTTTATTCTGGGACAAAGTCCCTTGAGAATAACAATATTGTACATAAAAATTAACATAACATCTGGCCAAAATGCATATTACAATAAAAAAAAAAATAATAAAAAATAAGTAATAACAGAAGTATTTACATAACTATACTGATATATTAAAGACATAATATGAGCAATAAGATCCCAATACAGCGAGATAGTTACTAAAAACAATAAACTATGGAATTTTAACTGAAATTTGAAATGAGCGATAAATTACTTTTGCTGTCATACCATTGAATTAATGAAAAAAAAAAATAATAAAAGAGTGGATAAATATTTACTTTAAATGGTTTACATATGTAATTTAATATGTTCAAAGAATACAATAATAGTATTGTAAACATTATACAAGTACTATATAATCTAAATCCCAAGATGTAGATTGATCGGTGAAAATAAAAGATATATATGTGTGTGTGAGTATGTTAAACTTAGCTATTAAGAATTTTTTCAATTGTTACAAAATTCTTAAGAACGTTGTATTAGAAAAATATTTTCTCTGCATGAATTTGTTATATTTTTATTTAATATATTCCGTTCTTTTGTCAAATATGAAGCACATTTTGTTTAAAAAACTGTGTGAATATCTTCATAGTACCTGACATAACTATAAAGTCATAAGAACTATTATATATTAACTAATAAGCCCAAGCGCCAGTATGCATACCGCTGGGTATCTAGTCCAGGTATCAGATAAAAATATCAGATAAAAGTATCCGATGCGGGTATCAGATAAAAATATCTGATACAAATATCAGATAAAAATATCCGATACAAATATCAGATAAAAATATCTGATACAAATATCAGATAAAAGTATCTGATGCCAGTATCAGATAAAAATATCTGATACTAGTATCAGATAAAAAGTAGTAGGAAGGTCATGAGCAACTACTGACCCATTTGTATCAGATACAAAAGTATCAGATACAAAAGTATCAGATAAAAGTATCAGATACAAAAAAGTACCCGTATCAGTTGTATCTAGATACAAAAATGTTAGTATCAACCCATCCCTACCCGATGATGGCCACACCCATAGGGTAAAGAAGCAAAGACGTAGGCAAGAATTGTTAGGTGGCTCCTCGTGCCGCAGGCCGGAAACGCCTCTTCGGTAGGGCGGGTAGACCGATGAGATAGGCTAGAGCCTGATAACTCTACAAGCTGGTCAGGAGGCACCGAGGAAGCAGCCCCTTCACTTGACTCAGGGGTAGTGGGCTAATAACACACTTCCATTAAATACTCATCATTATGAAACCTCTACAAATAGAAATAACCGGATTGTTATTACGGAATAAAACTAGGAAAGCTTTGAAGGACTTAAGAATCGCCTACTGGAACATTTTATGTTTATATAGACTCGGAGCCCTGCGGGCAGACCTCGAGCGAATTGACAACTATCGCATTATCACCGCAGCGATCCAGGAAATCGGCTGGTTTGGAGGTGGCACCCTTGAAAAGAGGTACCATATTTATACTACAGCTGCTAGAAACCAACCATATGTATACAAACGGATTCATCGTCAGAGGAAGAGCTCGACAATTAGAAACGAAGTTTATTCCCATCTTCCCTAGATTATGCTATCTACGTCTTAAGGGAAAATTCTTTAACATCTCAGTAATTAACTCTCATGCACCTAATGAAGAAGAGAAGGACACGTTTTACGAATAGCTCTTAAAGCCCTCAAGAGTTGTCCAGGTTATGATGCTAAAATAGTTCTAGGAGACTTTAACGCTCAGATAATTACGAAAAGAATACATCTACCAACAATTGGAACCTTCAGTCTTCATCAGAACACAAATGCCAATGGATAAAGAGTGATTGACTTTGCGAACACTCACGGCCTGGTGGTCGGAAGTACCATGTTCCCAGGCAAAAATACACACAAAACTACCTAGAGATTACCTAATGGAGCGTTTACCAGCCAGATCGACCACATCTTAATCAGCTGTCATCACAGGTTCAATTTAATTGGAGTAAGAACATATAGAGGAGCAAACATGGATTCGGATCACTACCTCAGTATTGCCCGTATACGTGCCCGGATTACTACGAAACAAAACACGGATATTGGAGAAGCTGTGAAGAAATTCAATGTTCATAAACTGAAGGATCCTGAAGAGTATGAAATCTATCTGCAACATCTTGAAATTAAGCTGGCGGAAGAACTAAGGGATGGGAATGACACGGTGGATGACCAGTTTTCAAGAACGCTGATAATTACGGCAGAGCAAATCCTTGGATTGCAAGCAAGAAGCAGGAGGTCCTCTTGGTTTGACGGTGAATGCATTGAGGCAACAAACAAGAAAAATGAAGCGTATAAAAAGGTTATCCAGCGCCATACAAGTCTGACACAGGATCCATACCGAAATAAAAGAAGAGAGGAAAAGAGATTGCACAGGAGAAAGAAAAGAGCATGGGAGAACTGCAAGATGAAGGACGTAGAAAACTGCAGGACATCCCATGACACTTTTCTCTTCTTTCAGAAAATGAATGGGGCCGCATAACTTCCAAACCAAAAGTAACTATTAGGACAACAATTAGGACGGTAACCTGTTGGCGGAGATAGGAACAAATCTGAAAAGGCACATGGCATATGGGCAAGGTACTTCAGCTGTGCGCTTCAAAGAGATAACTTTGACGGAGGAATAACCAGAGAAGAGGATGACTTCTCTAACGATGCCAAGCCACCGGATGATGAAGACATAGAATCGGCCACAATGAAGCTGAAAAAGAACAAGGCTGCGGGACTGGATGGAATTCAAGCGGAGCTGATACGCTATGGAGGAATTCAACTGAGAAAGGAGCTCCGTAACCTCATTTTTAAGATATGGGAGGAAGAGAATATGCCTGAGGAGTGAAAAAGGGGAATTATCTACCAACTGCACAAGAAAGGGGACCAATCAGATTGCGACAATTACCGTGGCGTAGAGCTTCTCTCATGTGCTTATAAAGTTCTCTCTAACATCCTATTTGAGAGACTAGTTCCTCATGCTGAGAGAGAGATAGGCAAATATCAAGCGGTATTTAGGCGAGGGAGGTCCGCATTGGACCAACTGTGCTCACTGGAGAAATGCAAGTATAGAACAGTTACCCATCGCCCCCTAGTTGATTTTAAAGCCGCCTACGATAGTGTAACTCGGCCGGAGCTCTATCAGGCCCTGTTGGGAATGAACGTCCCAATTAAACTGATACGGCTCGTGAAAATGACGATGTCAGCCTCAAAGTGTCCAATACGAGTAGGAAGTGACTTCTCGGAAGATTTTCATACAATCTGCGGTATAAGAGAGTGGGGATGCTCTAACCTGTTTTCTTTTTAACTTCGCTGCAGAGAAAACAGTGCGTATGTCCGCAATCGAACTCCATGCAACTCCTGTTTTAACTTATGGATCAGAAGCATGGGCCATTAAGAAGTAAGATGAAAATAAACTTCTGATCTTTGAAAGATCGATCTTGATATATCGATTTTTGGTCCTGTTAGAGAGGGTGGAATTTGGAGAAGAAATGCCGAACTTGCTGGCCTTTATAAGGATATAGACTTGGTCGTTTATCAAGATAGGACGTCTTTGATGGGCCTGGCACGTCACAGGTATGGATGATTCATTGATACACAGGAAGATCCTGTTCGGAAAGATGCATGGAAAAATTTAATGTTAGGAGGCCTAATGTAAGATGGGAGGACTCAGTGACATCAGAAGCAGGGGCTCTACTGGGAGTCTGAAACAGGAGAGCTGCTGCAGCTGATCATATTGACTGGTGAGAGCTTTTGGAGATGCAGTCTGGGTGACAAGATTTAGTGCCATCTATGTATATAATTGCACCTATAGGTGGGATGACAATTTCAATGTCAATTTTTTTTCATTAGATTAAGTGAAAGAAATTTGTTTCTGCTTCAATATAGAACTAAGAGCAATATAATGAGTTAATATTATGAGATGATGGTACAAATGAATTTCGAAATATATTATTTCAAACATTCCTTTTAAAATGTGGACTTTTTTTGGACTAATAGTTAAAAGAGTACCTGGTTCGTAACGTTGTGGGTAAGATTCCCAACCAGGTCGATTAATATTTATTTTTTGGTGATCCCGAGATATTGATGTCGACGCTCCCACTGGTTAGTACAGGGGAAGTGAGGGAAACAATAACTTTAAGCAGCCGTCGGAAATTGGCAAAAAAGACCAATCGTTTGACTAGATCCCTCCACCAATAGTGTATCACGTAGCTTTGTCTCCACTCTCATGACATTGCTGTTCTCACCATATTTGTAAATATGCATCCTAAAAATTTGGGACTTTCACGTTTTATTGTAACATTCTAATATTCATCAACGAATAAACATTGAAAATTGCTGCAAGTACACCGTCATCTTCTAATTTTTAAGGATAATTTGATACATCAATCAATATTATTGTCTAAGATAATATAGAATTAGTAGAAAACCAAACTATTGAAACAATGTTTAATAATTGTAGTACTTTTTATTAAGAATAAATAATAGAATTTAAATACAATTACAAGCATATTTATTCAGTTACGATGAGTAATTCTAGATACAATATATTTATAAATTAGAAACATATAATATCTTTCCATAAACAATTCTTTTTAAAAATAAAATTATATACATTATTTATAACAGTTACTATACAATGCAATATTTACATCAGTTCATTCAGTTGAGGATCATAATATTTTTCTGTACAATAGATACCTTTGTTAGTCATTGCAACCAATAAATATTCACCAATTGAATGCAAAAACCTATTGCATCTTTATGCAAAGTATGAACTCACTCCAATTAGGATAATAGTCACTCAACAATCAATTAATCAGATAATATAAAATAGTTTTTTATATAGCTCCAAATTCAAATTACAGCTTTGATTTGTGTAATATTGTAATCAATATTTATTTTGATTAACCTCATATAGATCAATATTAATCCTTTTCTCGTAACGATTGATTATTTTAAAATATAATATTGTGTTCAGAATAAGTGATAACAAATTTTGGATCAAAGTATTTTAAATCGAAAACACTGAAGACTGTAAATGTTAATGATGAAATTACTAATACTTTAGCGTTTGGATAAAATTTAAATGTTTTCATTTAATAATTGCACAATACAGTCCATGTAAATTTAGTAATGTAAAATCCAAATCCAATGTTTCATCCATGTTTGAACTAAAATACATTCCCGAGTTACCAACAAAAAGATAGGTAGAATGATATGTGAAAACTTTTCTATGGTGTTTCAATCTTAGAGTACTCGATACATGTAAAAGTTCATTATGGATTCGTTTATATTCCAACTGAAAGCCAATGACAAGAGAAACATCAGGCAAATAGGAATAACTGGAGCAAGCAGAATCTGAGTCCTTTCTAGTATTTGGAGACCTTAACAAAAAAACAAATATGTATTAAAAACTAACACGACAAGCACAAAAATAAACATATAAATGTTAACAATTTCATTTATCATTATTGTTCAGATAGTGTATGTCAACTTTACGGATTATTCTTTTCATTACTTATACTGAATTGAGCAGTTATGCTCTCAGAAAAAATTCACATTAATTTTTTTTTTTAATTATCTTGTAGACCATAAATAAATGCAATAATACATTATCCTATATACTATAATAAATAATCTATTTTGTAAAAAATATCAGAATGTAAACATCAATCAATTAAAAAATACAGTATAAAATGTTTTAGTGGCAGATATAAATGTCTTAGTATTATACAAGTAGGTCTAATTGGAAATAAAAGTATATTATCCTTACTGCTGTATCCAAGGAAGGTGATATATGTGTAATAAGCAAATGAGATGAGCCATAAAGAATTTCCAAAAAACCTCGATATAAACCAGTCTCGACTGATGAAAACTGTCAAGGAAAAAAAATATATATATATAATAATCTTATAATAGAACAATATTGTTTTTATATTTATTGTTGAATACAAGGTACTGGTATTTTCAAAATATAAACAAATTTTATTCTGTGGTTCCAAGTTACCAGCCAATTGGAGAGCCAGATTATAAAACAAAAGCCATTGCTCTTGAGAAATGGAAAAGGATTCTGTTGTATTTATTGTTTATAACCATTGTTTTATTTATACTAGTTAATTGTGGTATTTCTGATTACTTTATTTTATTTTTTTTTTATGAAATTGTTTCAGATAACATTTATACTGTTTACTAAATAGTAACCTTTTATTATAATAGTTTATTCTAGACCCCCAAAACTACCAGTTTTTTTTTTTTTTGTATGGAAGTCAATTTCACTAAGATATATAGATATATATCTATATTTTGGTCAATTATACTAATATATATGTTTATATATATAAATATAAGCACCAATCAATATCGCCAGCATTCCACTAATATTATTTATATAGGATTAACAGATAGGTTTTGTAGAAGTACAACAGTGTGCTATCATAAATAAGAGAGTTGGACTTCACCCAATGGATACTGGGAAATGTCAAGACTTCCCACCAGATGTTCACAGAAGTTGAAAGGAATGAAACTTACAAATTATTAATTTTATATTTTAAAATGATACAATATTAGAAAGTTCTAAATAATTCTCCAGGAAAAGTCTTAAATACAGATCTTTGTTTTTAATAAGCAAGGAAAAAAAAAAAAATCTGTACCACTAACACCAATGAATGGTTTTGGCTTCAGTACTATTTAGGGAAAGTACAATAAGCAAGGAAACCAAGACAAATTAGTCTCGAGGAGGGGTTGGCCTAACGCCTTTGCAAGATACTTATTGCCTGGTAACCTAATAACCTGAAGATCACAAGTTCGAATCCTGGTGCCATTAATCCCCTACATCCTTCCCTGGCCCGGGGAAAACCTTGTAAAGGCGAGGTAGAGGGGAAAAGAAAAATTTAAAATAGTAATAAAAAATAAAATAAATAAATCATACCATCATAAAAAAACAGCTGTATCACATGTAAAATAAGCAATGGAGGAAAAAAGGCATTGAGATGAACATCAAAAGCATAACCCCATTCTACGTCCTGGCCTATCGAATGCTTAAGCATGTAGCGATTGCTTATAAACCTAAAAAACAAAGTAAACTGTTATTAATACAATTTCAGTCAATGAGTCACTTTTGTAGAATAAATTTCATCTTACCACAGAAATGTTGCAACACAAAGTCCAACGGTAATACAATCTACAAAAAGTATATACAAGAGAAATCTTACAAATGCCATTACGCTTAAACCAAGGACTAGTGTAAAACCAACAGACGCAACTGTAAAAAAACACATTCATTTAGAAAATATATAAAAAAAAAAATAGCAGGAAATCTTTTAATACTATGCATAGTATATCAATAATAGTTATATTTAACAACAAAATAAAAGGATTTGAGAAAATAATTCATTTAAGTAATCCAACATAAAAACATTCACCTGTCAATTCCTGAGTATTATACTAATATTTAGGAATGAGATGGTCCAGGGAGGCGGTCATAAAAAAAACAACTAAAAATTGTGAAAAACTATTTTATCTTATATATTATTTCTAAAAGGTGTTTTTTTGTTGCAAAGTCATAACTTCATCAAATCCAATAATTGAGCCCTCATTTTAAAGATATTCTTCATCTTCAGATGAAAAAAATAATCACATCCTCCCGAAATTTAAGGAAAAATAGTTATGAAGGAAAAGAAACTTTATTTGCGAATAACTCGGAAGTTATGAATTTTATTAATTTTTTTTTTATTATATCCATGATTATTGGGGAGCGGGGTAGCTCAGTTGTAGGGCACTGAGCTTCCAATGCAAAGGTCCCGAGTTCGAACCCCGGCTCATGGCAGAAAATTAATTTATCTGTTTCATTGGCCGTGGAGTGACCTTGGGTCAGGAGTCCCTCCTGGGGCACACCCAGCCTCTATAAAGTGGGTACCCTTAATTAAATAATTAATTAAGGGGGAAAATCTGGCGGTTGAGCGTGATCTCGGTCATATCACCTCCTTGCACAACCGTTGACCTAGAAACAGTGTTTTCCCTAAATAGTACTGAACCCCAGAACCTTTATGGGTTGTAGTGGTACATGTTTTTTTTTTTTTTTTTTTTTATATCCATGATTATTAGAAAGATTACTAAATTACCTACAAAACAAAAAAAAAAAATTGTAAAAATCGGACAATTATTAACAAAGATGCAGTCCATTAGTTTTAGCATACTCAATAATTTCTTCATCTTTAAAGATACTGAATTTACTATTCTACTACAATTTTTTTCGTGGCTGATATATACATTATTATTTCTTGAAGTTTTACATTATTTTATATCTTTTAATAGTAAAGAAAATCCCATGATTGAGGCTTTATTTTGAATATTACCTTTCCAGTCAGCATTTAAAAATAAGCCCTAGCAACGCTATTTGTACAAATATTTAGGTCTATTAAGTTAAATGGAATATTGTAATTGAAAACTTTTGAAAACTCGATCAAGGAAAAGCAATTAATTTCTTCTTCAGATAATACATAGGGTCTACTTATTTCCATATTGTTTTGATATTCCTTTCCTAAACAAAATTTTCTGTGAAATATTTGCACGGGACTAACTAGTTGTATAATTATTTTAGTTAAGTTTTTCACTATTATTAGTTTTTTAATGATCCCCACCCCGGACCACCTCTTTCCTGAATATTATTCAACGGTCAACCATTTAGTACTCAACATAACACTTAATAGATAAAGCAGCATTTTTTAATCATGAAAAGAAATTATTAATAAAAAAAAAGTAATATTTAAAATTAACCGATTTCAGAAAACATATTTCCTTAATCTCTCTCTCATATAGCTTAACTGGAATACGATGATAGTGCCTAACTGATTAGAAATATCATCATGTTATGGAATATAGAAGTACTCCAGGGATACCACTTTTTACCAATCGTCTTTAACATTATCTACAAAATCTGAATTTTTTAAAAATATCTTATTGAAGAAAAATTGGTTGGGCTGCAGTCTAAAATACAAATCAAAAATAAATAAATGATATTTTTTACTGAACGCCTCAAACAACTTCTCTTCAATTACAGTCAACCATCAATCCACTGTTAAAAATATCTTAATACGGCAAGCTGATAAACATGACGAAGAATGAATGATCATAGCTGGCTATAAGCCCACTGTGACATTATCGATATAGAAAGTATAGCTATTTGATACAGTGCCTTAAAAAATTCTCGTTAATGAATAAATAAAGATGGAGATATTTTGAAGAATGCTAGTATACAACAGGGAGCCAGGAACATAGCTCTATCATAATCTTGATTAAATTAATTAATTAGTAAACTGTTGCGAGCTTAAACTAGAATAAAAACTCAATACATTTATATGTTAAATGGCTTTCCATTTGTTTCCCCGATTAATTCAATCTAAATTTAATTTAATTCCTAAGTTTGTAATTATTGTTATTTGCAATTATTGTGCTTAAAAATCTAAAAAAAAAAAAAATAAATAAATAACTTTCTAAAGTGATATAAATTTATTGGGAGGTGCGGTCAAATAAATACTAAATTTTTAAAAAATAGTATTTTTAATTGTTACGCCGACGTTTCGACCCACCTTGCAGGTGTTCATCAGGGAGTGGCATGTGGCACTGCAGGAAGCAGTTGATAGACTGGCAGTTGAAACAGCAATATTTTTTAAAAATTCAGTATTTATTTGACCGCACCCCTCCCCCCACTCCCCCGACCAACTCCTCATATTATATCACAGTCAACCATCTCTACATCATTAAAATTACTATTCATTTACTTCCGGCAGGCGTATGACAGTGTGAATAGGAGTAAGCTATTGGAAACCTTACAGTCACTGGGTATTCATAGTAAACTAATAAGATCGACCAGAATGACTATAGAAAGGACAAGCTGTATGATCAAAACCAGAGTGGGTATGTCAGATAGTTTCGAGGTTAACAGACAGAGAAACCCATTATCTCCTGTACTATTCAATCTCGCTTTAGAGGTTGCAATTCGGAAAATCAAGACGAACCCTGGTGGTACCATCTATAATTACCATCTATAGGCTCACGCAACAAATGGCATATGCTGATGATGTTGTTATATTAGGGAAAACTAAAGCAGCACTAGCCGGGCATAGAAAAACTAGGTAGCATAGAAGAATTCAAGCATGCATCTCAAGAGTTAGGACTCATTATAAGTGCGGAAAATACGAGGTATATGAAAACATCCCGACATACCAGAGAGAGAGGAGATACAGTTGAATTGGGAAAAGAAATGTTTCGCAACTATGATAAATTTAAGTACTTGGATAGAGTAGTGACAGAAAACAATAATTTGGAAGCAAAAATAAAAGGAAGAATAGTTGCAGGAACTAGATGTTTCTATGCCCTATAAAAGGCGCTCTGATACAAAAGTCTGTCCAGGAAAGCAAAACTAGTAATATATATTTGTTCGTTTTGTATGGCAGTGAGACATGGACTATGACCAAGGAAAACAGGAGAGCCTTGCTGGTATGGGAGAGAAGAGTACCAAGGAAGATCTTTGGAACTATCAGAAAGCAGCATAGATGGAGTAAAAGTAACCTAAGAGTTAATGGAATTATATGGTGAGCCAGACATCCTTAGTGTTATTAAGAAGGGCAGACTCAGATGGCTGGGTCATGTTGAAGGAATGGATCTCAGTAGACTTCCAAAAATGATGCTGAATAGTACTCCAGGAGGAAACAGACAAAGAGGTAGACCCAGCAACGATGGTTGGATGATCTGGAGGATGACTTGAGGAGGCTGGGGATCAGAAATTGGAGGAATCTAGCTGTGGACGGTGAGGAGTGGTGGCAGAGGCCCAGGTCCTACAAGGAGTGTAGCGTCCATTAAAGAAAAAGACTAAAAGGGGACCGGTACTGTACAAGTGTTGCTCCACTTTGATGGGCGATATAAGATCTCATTATCACACTAAAAATGAAATCTCAAATATGGCTTACTGTGTCCGAAAGTAGCAGAGGTGACCAAAATGTCTGGTAAGCCCCAACCTCAACTCAAAAGGACCTGTTGGGGTTTGTTTAATCGTTTTGAGTGAGCGGAAGTCGACATCAGCGATATACTTAAGGATAATTAAGGCCCACTTATTAATTGGTAAGTACCAGTTAATCGCAAATCACGATTTAAATAATAAGAGGTCATACCATAAACACGTTATCAACACTTGGACATTCTCGAAATCTCAATTATAGCGTTATTATGAGATCTTGGCCCTCTCGTCAAAGTGGAGCAACACCTGTACAGTAGTACCAAGGGATATTCTGAAGAGCCTGTGGATACTACCTCCTTTCACAAGGCCATAGTTCACTCAAGCCCATCTCACTCGGACCTTCCTGCCATCATCAAAGGGTTAACATGCAATAAGAAACATTTAATAATGTAGATAAATTAAAGTCGGAAATTAAGAGGTTTAAACATTACTAGTTCATAAGTGTAACAGTGTTGAAATCAAACAAAAAATAAAATTGACAATTTTCTAATTAACCGGATAAGATCAAACGAACAAATACAATTTTTAATACTTACTGAATAGCCAAACTATGAGGAGAACGAAAAATGCAGGGTCGTCTCTTGCAAACTGAGATTTCATTTCTGTACATCATTATACATCAATATTAAAAATTTATATACATAATGATTATCAAAAAAATAAACCAAATGTAATTACGTTTTCGATATTGAAAATTTCTGTAAACCTTTTGGGGAGATATGAAAAGGTACATCATTTGCCAAAAAGCAAATTCAAAATCCATCTGGTCAAATTTTAAGAACCTCCGAAGGTATCTGTACCTCTTCACTGCAGCAGACATACAATTGTGCCTAACAAATTAATAAATAATTTATTAATGTGTTAATAAAAACTAATTATTTTAAAGAAGAAAAAAAGCAGTTACCTGTAGGTTACTGGAGTAGGAAGAATGAAGGAAGAAGCTAAGGATTCTTTACTTAGTGTCCTTGTTTTACTACCATTCGCCATGATAAAATTATAAAAATGTCAATCTAATAACATTATCCACTATGAATAAATATCAATTGCTAACTGTTAAAATAATAGACAGATCTGCTTAAATGTCTCTCATCAACCCAAGACTGCCTTAACGACCAGGTGTAACCACACTATCTACTCCATTAAAGGTTAGTAAACAATGACAGTACAGCAACTCAACCAGTGTTGCGGAAAATAATTTGAATATATTTTATTTGAACCAACAACCAATCTTTCAAGTACATTTAAAACATTATTTTTCAACAACTTGGAAGTTTTCCGAATTCATTTATGACACAGTTTACATAATTAGACCTTGGCGGTCCATGGGGAGGGGTGCTCCTCACTAAAGAAATATAAATTTTAATTTTTGGAATAATTTTATATTACATGCTCCACGTTTTTATCTCAAATAAAATAATATTTCTTATGTAATCATAAAAATTAGTTATTTTATTTTTTAAAACCCTTTATCTCATTATGAAAAGACGAAAGAATAACCATATGATCTGCAAAAACAGTTAAAAGGACTGTTCGTTGATCATGGTTTGCATTTCTCCTGAAACAGTGGGATTCCTTTCTTCATTGGCTTCTGTTGAGTTACATTGAGAAGTTGAATCAAATATTAAAAAGATTTTAGCGTCCCCTAAAAACAATATCTAGAAGTACGCCTCCAGAATTATAACATAAAAAAATATTTTCCTTCCAATAACATCAAGATATTGTTTAGGAGTATTATTGTGCGAGAATATACATCTGATACTATTAGTAATAAAACGTATTTTGTTTGCTTCAATGTTTCAGAATTATAGAATAATTGCTATAAATCTAAAACATGCTACAGGACCTATGTCTTTCCAATCATGAGATTGTCTGATTCTTTCCTTGAGCCATTCACAGCTTCTTCCTTTCAGGCTAGTTATTTTGATTCGTAGCCAAGGATGTAACCAGAAAGGAGATAATTGTTAAAAAGAAGCAATTAATTTAAGAGTTGGAGAATCAGTTTTTATTTCCATGAACATATACAGAGGAGGATCAGGTGGAGCAGCTACCCCCCTCAACATGGAAAATAGTTCATATAAATTCTCAGTAAATATGAAAAACTGATAAAAAATTATTTACAGCAGAAGGTTGATTATTAATTAGTATTTTAACATTCGGACAGAGACTAATTATAGAATAAATATTAATTCCCTCCCCCTTAAACTACGTAGTCCTATCATTTTTATTTTGTAATTTATGTCTTTCGGGGTGTTACAATAATTACCACCTACGATGAGATTGCAATCTCTGTTTATCATTTTTTTTTATGTTCCTTGTTTATTTTTAAGGCTACATTTTTTAATTTGTCCCATGATAGAAGGGAAGAAGCTGTCTATTCTTGTCCGTACTTGCAGTTAATGTTCTTCCTATTATTTTATATTCCCTTTTGTTTATTTGTTATTTCATACAATTTTGAATGTTTTTGTACCTATAACCATAAACCCAAAACATTTGAAACTTTTCAAATGTGGTAAATTATCATATTACTTGTTTGTTTTTACATCATTATTTAATTTAAAAAAACATTAACAGGTAATAAAACTATTTTTCAAAATGGAAATTCATTTTTATTTTTTAAGGTTAGGTCAAGAAACATTTTGTCGCTATCGCTTCATGTATAATAATCATTACTTTTTCCAATCCATTGACACATATCTTAATGTCCTTGTTTCTGCAACAAGAATCAAAATATAATATTCAAAACAATATTAGAATGTTTATTATAATGTATTTATTATAAGATCAAAGTAAAATCTTAAAGTAAGACATTGCTAAAATCTTTATTTCTTGCATTTATTATGGCGAATGGTATGATCATAATCTTTACTTCCTTAGTGATGACCCTTGTTTAAGTCGAAATATTGGTTTCTATCAATAATTTAATTATATTATTCTGCTTTCAAAGTTAGTTTGACCAAATATCTGATAATCTAAAGTCCTAATAAAATCTTTGCAATTTTTTTTTTTTTACTCATGATTAAAATGTAGACATTGTTGATTATATCTAGTAGATGATGATTGGAGTTTTAGCCACACACTGTATATACAAATTTTAAAAAACATGAAACACTAAAATCTTTTTATTATGAATGGAGTTATTGATAATTCAGAATTGGTCATGGTCAAAGTGAATGAATGAAAATCATTCGTTAAATAGTTTTATACTACTTTTTTACTGTATGTTTTTACCTTTGGTTTTAATCCCAATCATATCTCACAGGTGAAGATAACACATTATAATATCTCGAAAATTAGTACTTAAATATAATGATATCATGGTATTATCATAAGCTTACCTTATCAACACTGTTGTTGTAAAAGCAGGCTGAGAATTTGTAAGCTTTTTGGCATTGGTTTTGAGAATCTGTAATCCAGATTGCATTTTAATATACCACTGCAATATCTCTTATGAAATAAAAAAAAAAAAACTATAATGATTATTATTAGCGACTTATAAGTGGTCTTTATTTAGCATTAATAAATAAATCTTGCTTTGAAAAGCTGAAGTACTTTTAAACATTTATTTTACTCAATTTCAATTTTTTTTTTTTTAAATCTCAGATTGAAAAGACATACCTTCTTTAAGGCACTTATCTTTAAATGATTTCAAAGAAGATTTGAACTTAGAATCAGGCATTGAATTCAGAAATCTGTCCACTCTATCTTTATGAAAAGCACCACCTTTATCTATCTTTAAAACAAAAAAAATGAATTAAGTATATAATTAAAAATAGAAATAGAAATTTTAATATCATTATAAATCATACAATAGAGGGTCCTTACCATCTGATATCTCTGCAAGAGGCAAAGTAGAAAACACTTAGCTTGCATGCTGCCAATATCACTTCTCGCAAACAAAGGCAGTATATCAACTGATCAATTTATCATGAATAAAGAATGAAACTTTAATCAAATAAATAATTAAATAATCAAATGGGGGTTACATACTAAACAAGATTTTAACTTACCTAATGATATATTATAAATATTTGAACAATACTTTGATGATTCCATGAAATTGGTTTTGAATGAAGAAGCTTTTCGAGAATAGTCATAAGATTGTGCCTAAGGAATATCAATCTTACAATTGTTAATTGAAAATGATTCTTTGACAACCAAAATGCCATCAGAAATCAATATGTTTTAAATCAATCATTAAAATACTTACCTTAATGAAAGTACCAGAATGATAAGCAGAACAAATTAAGATAACTAAAATAAATATGGATTTGTTAACACCTAGGCAGACAAATTGTTCATGCTGTATTAAAACCATAGTTTTTTTAGAAAACGACAAATTTATGGTTTGAATTCATGTATTAAAATTGAGTCATTCTCAGTTTCGGTTCCATCACATCTGATAACAGCCCCGGAAACGAAGAGTTCATAAAAGGTTAGGAAATCATTTTCCGGGAAATGCGTCATTAGTATGGGCCAAATAGCTTTTTCCTAATAGAATCATTATTTTTTAAATTATAGTTTTAAAAATGATATCTATAGATATTAAATATTATTTTTATATGGCTTCCCTCATCATAGTGTTGCTCAGGTGCAGTAAAATAATTATTATTCTTTAGAGAGGGGCACTAGCGGATCCACGATTTAATTTTAGGGGGGCTTCAGCACGAAAGAACGAAAGATTTTTCTTTCATATATATATAACGATAATTAATTTGAAAAAAACAAGAAAGAAACTAACTACCTATATGAAATGGTGTTTAAAACATTCCTGAAGTCCTATTAAATGTAATTACACGAACAATAATACTTTAAGTGATTTATTATTTATTTATCAACCCTGCCGTGCCTAGTAGGCAATACGGGTGTCTGCAATAGTAAGATGTTAGGCAGGCCAGCTTAACATCCCACTGCTGCAAATGAATCTTGTTCTTCTGCTCTTTCTTCGTTTTTTTCTCTCTTTCTTCATGATTGCTTTTCTCATCCGTTTCACGCCAATGGTATAGTACCTCTTCCTCCTATTCTTAAATTAAAATTGGCTGGCCCACCGCGACTTCCCACCCGTACACAAAATCTTTGTAGTACGGGTAGTTTTCCGCAGTGACTAACTGAGGAAAATCGTTCTCTGTGAGAATATAGAGACCGGTTTTCCTCAGTAACTTAGCCCTTAGTTCTTCAAAGGCGGTGCAGTCCACTATGATGTGCTCAGATGTCTCCAGAACACCGCAGCTAGGGCATAGGGCGTCGATGTCCATCCCATGGCAATGAAGCTTTGCTCGAAAGCCCCCATGGCCTGTGAGAAATTGCGAGAGCCAATAGTCCGGGACGATCCAGCTTGCTTCTAAACGTGACCGGACGGTGGGAAATTACCTCCTCAAGGTAGATCCTTTGGGGGTTATCACCCACCGCCGGTTCCATTCCTCCAATGTGCCGTCCCATATAATGTATTTCCATCTGCAAGGATTCTCGTCAATTCTCACCTTACGATTTTCCGGTAGACCTGCTGAGCCGTTTTTCTTTAACATGTGTTTTATCATGTCTTCACGCAGGAGAAGGTCGAGAGGCACCCCTCATGCTAATACCTGCATCGCCTCATGGGATACGCTTCTATACGCCCTGGTGACCCGCAGCAATGCCGTTCACTGTATTGTCGCCAACTTACTCTTCTGTCGGTGCGAGAGGTTCTGGTTCCAGGCGGGAGACGCATACCTCATGATACCCAGAATCACTCCCTTATAAATTGTTAAGGTTGCTGGGTATCTGAGGCCCCAGAAAGCGCCCCCAACCCGACGGAGACCGTTCAAAGATAGGGCCACCCTGTTTCTAAGATAGTCCAAGTGAAGGGTAACGTTGAATTTTTTTTCCAAATCTTACTCCTAGATAAGTGACCACCTCACTTGGACGTATTCTCGGTCCTTGCATCGTTATGTTAATAGGGTTTGCCCTATCAGTTTTCCCTTTCATGACAATTGTATGAGTCTTTGAAGCGGCCATTGATAACTTTTTCCTCTCGCACCATTCTCCGATCAAGTTGGCGCATCGTTCCGCTTCTTGTCTTAAGCCGGCAATGCTATTGGAGGCCACCACTACTGCCAAATCGTCAACGTATCCAGTGGCAGGAAACCGCTGTTCTTCTAACACTCACAATAACTGTGGTCTAGACCTCAGTTCAGAGCGTATGATAAAAGTTCAGTCAGTTTATAGTTAGTGATTTTCACCGGTTTTAGAAGGATTTCTGTCATAATTTTTGGTTAGAACAACTATTAATCGTGTTATATCCACAGACAGGAAAGATTCTTCAATACACCGGCGTTTCACGTCAGAAGAAGAAAGAAAAAGTCACAGTTTTAGTCGGCTTAAGGTATTTATTGCAGGCATTCTAGATAAGAATATAGGTGGGGAGCGCATGCGCATAGATAGGACTAGGTACTAGATATCTCAGTGTCTCCAGTGACGAGGTTAGGGTAACGTCAATTTTTTTACCACGTTACTTACGTAATTTTTTTTTCTCTTTCTTTCTTTTTTCTCACTTATCAAGATGGTTCTATGCCCAATTTGTAAACAGACCATAGCAAGAGAAGAAAAAAAAACAATAGCATGCACTATCACAACATGTCAAGCCATTTTTCATGGAAAATGTCTAAACGCAGACGAGAGTGAGTTCGAAGTACTGAGGGCATTACGAAAAAATTGGGTATGTCCGAAATGTGAAAAGGCTCGGAAAAATATCCAACCGACAGATAAGTGCCTTAGCCCGCCAAGATCGGCGCCACAACAACAAACTGTCGACAGCACGTCACAACTGTTACTTGCTGCCATTAAAAATCTAACAGAAGAGGTCAAGGGATTAAAATTCTCCCTCGATGCCAATGCTAACGAGGTGAAAGAATTAAAAATATCTCTCGAAAAGCAAGCCTCTATAACTTTTGAGAATGCGGCGAAATTGGACACTATAGAGTCACTACTGGAGGCTCAAAATTCCAAGATTGACGGACTGGTCCTGGAAAACACGACTCTCAAGTCTCGGGTCTCGGAGCTCGAAATCAGGCTCAATAAAAGTGAGCAATTGCACCTTTCCAGGTCAATAGAAATAAGAGGAGTCCCAGTGAGATCTGGAGTGACCCCGATGGGCCTGGTGATGAGCGTGGGGGCGGGCCTGGGCCTTAGTCTAAAGGTGGAGGACATAGACTATGCAGAACGGATAAGAACCAGGCAAGACGATACACGGGGGCTGCTTGTGGTAAGGTCGTCCGGCAGTCGCTTAGGGATGAGTGGATCCAGAGGCGAAAAGTCATTAGGGATTTTTCAACACGTCACCTCGGATGGCAAGAAAATGACGCCCACAAGATCTACCTGAGCGAAGCTATGTCTGTAACAAACAGACACCTGTACTGGCTGGCCCGGCAAAAGAGGTCTGCAGGAAAAATCAGGTACGGTTGGTTTAGCGCAGGCAAGGTGAAATGTCGACGAGACGATGGACAGCAGGTCGTCGTCATCAACTCACCATCAGATTTAGAAACGTTTGCTTGACATGCATATACATGTTACATCACTTTGAACAATCTTGTTTTTACTTTTTTATATCCCCAGGTTTATGTTTTTGTTGCGTTTGTTTTAATAATAGACTATGATAATAATTTCATTTTTGTTTATGAGAATATTCTAGGTCTGATCTGTTCAGAAATTCTAATTTGTGTATTTTTTTTCTTTTGCACAATAGGAATATGCTTTTCATTAACTAAATTTTATATTTTTTGTTTACCATCCTTATCAATATCTAGGAAATCTTGCACACTTATTGTTCCTCTCAATAGAGATAATATCAATAGTTATGGTCTCTGGGCTCATATTGGCTCTAGCTGCTGTAGAAATATTCCTATCCTTAACTCCTTCTGTCCGTTTACCAAGCCACCCTTCCTTCTTCCATGACTAACATCCTTCTAACCTGCCACGTCAACGCTCAGTCACTCTTAGCCCATTTTGATGAATTTTACGACTTTTTTCTCCATAACTTCCACCATTTAATTCCCGTATCCGAAACCTGATTGAAACCCACAATCCCGTCCTCCCAGATCCTTCTACCTAACTATATATCATGACAGAGTAGATCGCACGGGTGGTGGAGTAGGTCTCTTTGTCCATGAAAGTCTCAAATCCAAAATCCTTCACTGCTCTTCCATAACCGATTCTCCGCACGTTGAATACCTTTTCGCCGAAATCCTCACAACCTCATCTGCCATTCTGTTTGCTGTCATATATCGCCCTCTTAGAATTCCTTTCGATGAATCACTTGAGACTTTATTGTACAACTTAATCCCTTCCTACTCAAACATCATCCTCTCCGGTGACTTTAACACCAATTTACTGGCACCATCCTCTGATTATTCCTACCTAACAAACCTCTTTAATTCTCTCAGCCTTTACATAGTACCCTACAATCCAACCCATCATACTCAGTATTCAGAGTCCTGGCTCGATCTAATTATCCTGGATTCCTCAGACAAACTCCTTCGCATCTCAGCACCAGGTCCCGTTTCTATCTTCCCACGATCTTGTCCAGATCTCTTACAATGTCCCTGTCCCATCATTTTCTCCCCGAACAATATCCTTCCGAAACCAATATTATCTCACTCACGAAACATTGTCAGAAGATCTTGACGATATCCAGTGGGATCCAATCTACTCCTCAAAATCCATAGACACCATGGTAGAAATCCTTACCACTCAACTTCACTCTATCCTCGACCGACATGCTCCTCTTATCACAAAAACCATCCGATATCCTCCAGCTCCTTGGCTTACTCCTGCTTTGAGGGAGTGTATGAGAGAAAGAGATGCTGCAAGGCGACGGTTTAAACGAACTCGACTTCCTGATGATTTTCTCTCCTACAAACAGCTTCGAAATAGCACTCAATCAGCAGTACGCCGTGCTAAATCCCGTTACTACCATCATTCCCTATCCAACTCTCCCAATACCAAGGCTACGTGGACTATTCTTAGAAAAATAGACCGTTAGTAATGCACCCCAGTCTCAGTCCAATTCCGTTTCTGCTGATAACCTCAACGCTCACTTTGTCTCCTGTCCTCTTGCAACCACATCTCCCACGTCCAGTCTGGCTCCCATGTTCTCTTCCTTTAATCCTGATCACTTCTTTCTTTCCCATATTACACCAGATAATCTCCTTAAATCCATTCAGAAGTCCCATACCAATGATTACGGTCCCGACAACATCCCATCAGACTGATTAAAGCCGCATTGCCATCCATTCTTCCGATCCTTTATCATATATACAATTATTCTCTTCAAAATGCTACCTTCCCTACATCCTGGAAAACCGCCCTAGTACGCCCATTGAAGAAGACTTCAAACCCATCAGCTCCTAATGATTTCCGACCGATTTCCCTCCTTTCAAACCTCTCAAAACCATTAGAGCGGTTAGTCCAATCCCAGTTATCCCATTTTTTAGAGGACAATAATCTCCTAAATCCCTACCAGTCCGGTTTCAGGCCTGGTTATTCCACTCAGTCTGCCCTAATCAAAATTTCCCAAGACCTTCACACAGCCATAGATCAGCAGAAACTAACCATCCTTATTCTCCTAGACTTCTCCAAAGCTTTTGATTCAGTAGACCACAACATCCTCCTAACCAAACTTAAAAATATCTTTTTTTCTTCTAGTTCCCTTAATTGGTTCCAATCCTTCCTTACTGGTCGCTCCCAGTACGTTGTAATTCCTAATAACCCACCATCAGAATCTCTACCTCTGACCAGAGGCGTTCCACAAGGCTCTTCCTTATCCCCCACCCTTTTCTCCATCTACATAAATGACCTCCCATCCTCTATCCTGCACTGTCAATACCACCTGTATGCCGACGACATTCAAATTTACCTCTCCTTTAATCCGACAGATATCTCAGATGCCACACTAAAACTTCAGGAAGACATTGACAGAATAAGTGCTTGGGCAAACCTCAATAGGCTCACTCTGAACGCCGAGAAGACAAAAGCCATCTTGATCGGATCCTCTTCACACCTCAAATCCTCCCCGGTATCTCCCAATCTCCTCCTGAACAACTCACCTATCTTATTCCACACCACCGTTAAAAATCTAGGTGTTACTTTCGATCAATCCCTATCCTGGAAACCTCACATCTCCCAAATTTCCCGTCGCACTATCTCCACCCTAAAACAGTTCAATCGTCTACGATATCTCCTTCCATATAAGTCCCGTCAACTCCTAGTTTCCTCCCTTGTTTTCCCCCACTTCGACTATGGCTGTATGGTGTACGGTGGACTCTCAGGAGATTCCGAGGCCAAACTTAAACGCCTAATGAATTGCGCACTACGATTTGTTTTCGGAATCTCAAGGGATACGCATATTACCCAGTATTACACTGAGTTGAGGTGGCTCTACCCATCCTATCGCCGTCAGTACTTCCTAGCCACCTTTCTGTACCAAATCATTAGAACTCATCGACCCTCCTATATTTTTCACAGCTTACAATTCAAATATTCCATCCAATCCCGTCCCACCAGATCTCGTACTTCCGACCTCTATCCTCCTCCTCACCGAACTGCTGCGTTTGACAAATCCTTTGCAATACAAGCCGCCTCCCTCTGGAATTCCATCCCAGCTGATATTCGACACGCTCAATCAGTTTCCTCGTTTAAACCTCTCCTCTTTAAGCACCTACTCCTTTCTCAATCCGAATGATTGTGAAATATATCTAAGAGAAATATCTGAGCACCTCAATTTATTAAGGTTATTTTAGTTTCTGATATATATGTACAATTTACTTGTTCTTTTCTTTCTCTTTTCTGTATTTTTATCGTAAGTCATCTTTCATTGTAAATATACAATTTAATTGTAACCACACAGACATACAATATGTATTCATATTTTGTTCTTAAGGGACAACAGTCCCAGAATAATAAAACATTTTTTCATTTTCATTCATTTTCAATAACTCATCAAAAAGGAGCTTCCATAAAGCTGGACCAAGTACCGATCCTTGAGGACATCCCCTCTCTATGAAAGCTTCAGTCTCATAAGAACTGCCACGAAATTTTACACGTCTATCCTGTAAGTAGCTTCTTATCAAGGCATATAAGTTACTGGGAGCATCATATTTCTGCAGCTGCTGGAGCACAAGAGGCCACCAGACGCTGTCGAAGGCGGAGGATATGTCAAATAGCATCAACATGACATACCGCTCCGTCCTCAGTTCAACGTCTTCACGTACAATCAGCAGGGCATCAGCGGTTCCCTTCCCCTTAGTGGAGCCGTATTGCCATGGATGATTTGCTCTGGCAAGAACTGGTGCTATACTGGTCATGATAAGGTTCTCCAGGACCTTGCTCATCACATGGAGGAGACATATGGGTCTATAGGACTTGGGGAGCTGTTTATCCCTATTCCCTCCCTTGTAGAGTAGTCTCAAATCGACGATCTTCCAGGTTTTGGGAAAGTATCTCCTTTCCAGACAATCATTATATATTCCCAAAAGTCTCTCATCAATGTAGGGCAATGAAGATTTCGGCTGCCTCCTCGAAGTTGGTTCCCTGTACGTCTCCGTGCTTGAGGGCTGCCAATGTTTGCTGCGTACTAAACTTCCCCATGGCCGCCCTATGAGGAATTCCCCAGGGATTCTTCGTGGACTCTTCAACAATGAACTCGTCCCAGGACTTTTTCTTCTGTGAACAAACCTGGTTTCGGTAATACTTTAAGAGATAGTTTTTAATATTTTTTTCTATAAAACATGGTTATAATTTACCATTTTTTGGGGGGGGGGAGAGGGGGCTTCAGCCCGAAAATCCCCCTCCACCGTAGATCCGCCTGTGGAGAGGGGTATTTATTTGAATTCCTCCCAGTTTTTATAGTTTTCTTTCCGAAAACTACCTTGGGATCAACCCCACTATTTTACTGTTTTTTTTTTTTGGTGGGGGCGAGATGGCCGAGCGACCCAACGCGTATGCACAGCACCGCGTGTTGCCGGCAACCTGATAATCTTAATTATAAATGAAAAATAGTTACAAGTTCGTGTCCTAGTGCCGGAGGGTGAAAAGGCAAGGAAAGGGGGAAGAAAAAGGTTTTCTAATTTGGAAAGGGGGGCAGCTGCCACACTCTGCCCATTTAGGCTAAGAATGTGTAGTTTTTTCCTAAGCCAAATTCAAGCCTTTGGAACAAATACAATTTATTTAATTGATGATTATTAAACACCATTTCGCCGTCTAAATCTGATGAACTGCTGAAACTTCAACGGCCATTAAACATCGATATCTGCTTACATCGATATAAGATAAGGGTGGATTATGTAGTGTTGTTCGGGAGGTTATAAATCTGTTGGTTATAAATAACATGTTCGATGGTACGCATTTTATCGCTGCTCCGGTCATGTAGGCCTTACTAATAACGTCAGTTTTGTTCATTATATTGCTTTAGATAAAAGAAAATGATTGAAATAACTGCCAAATTGCTCGGAGGGACGGTATATGCTCCTGGTGAAAACATCCTCTGCTGTATCACTTTCCAAAATAAAAGTGAAGGGTCTGAAAGAAGACATAAAGAAACATTAGCCTGGGCCAGTGCACAAATTGATTGTGTTTGTTCTACCAATTCCAAATACCCAGTGTTTCCAAAGGAGGGCTCTAATTCTAATCAAAACCCTACATCATCAGTAGACACCTGCTTAAGACCTCATAAGAGTAATGAAAGAGGTCACATTGCTTTATCTACAAAACCAAAAATAATTTTTTGTGATCTACAATTAACACCTGGAGCTTCCAAATCCTTTATATATACCGAAGCCCTTCCTCCTGAAGCACCTCCTCATTATTTAGGAAAACTGGTGAGATATACTTACAAAATAACATTTGGAACTCAACGTGTAAATTGTCCTATCAAATTGCTAAGGGTGCCTCTACGCGTATTGGCTATTGCAGGAATGGCAGATTGTAATATCGGTGAAGATAGTGAGGATCTATCTCCTAACAATCCTTTCTTGGAGCCTCATAAAAAAGAAAATGAATTAGGACCAGCTTTACAGATTGTGCAGAATATTACTGCTAGGAGAAGCCCTAATTATTATAATATCACCAATACCAGGGGGAAAGTTGGTAGATTTTGCTTGTTCAAACAAGCTTATCGTTTAGGAGAAGATATTGTTGGAACATTTGACTTTTCAAAGTCTACTGTACCTTGCCTACAGTTAACAGTTACTTTGCAAAGTGAGGAAAAAATTTCTGGAGATTACAAGTCTCATTTCAAACAGGACACTGCAGTGATCTCTTATAGTAAGCACCATGAAATATGCCTCCATATGGATTATTGCCAATTAAATCTTCCAATACCTTTGCATGCGACACCAGCATTCAATACAGAATTGATTACTTTGAGTTGGAAATTACATTTTGAATTTGTGACTGGGCACCCTGGTTCCAAGGACATTGTTTTAGCAGATGATGATACCTGGCAAGCACCAGAATCAATAATGATAGAAACAATGGTTTGGGACTTGCCTATTCAAATTTATCCAACTATACCTACTCCAGAGAGGACTCATCCACAATACAGTATTGTTTTTTGACTAAATATATTTTGTATTATACTGAAGTTCATATTTTTTTAAATAAAAGTTAACTGCATATTATCATAGTTTTTTTTTTAGTTTATGTAATTACCACTAAAAATCATTAACATTTATAACTATTAAACTAATCCATTATTGAGATTTAAGGTACTTAGATTATAGCATAAGTGGCAGACCAATCTGGATTTCATTGCCATAAAATCAGCATTTTGGGTTTATTGTTACTATTAGTTGCTGTATAAAGAATATTCCTCCTAAACACGTTCATTGCCACCACTAGTAAACGGGAAGAGAGCCATGCTTAGGCAAAAAACTTAAGAGAAACCCTTGTGGGCAGAACTGAGGCTAGAAGGCTAGGCTTAATGAAGTGAAGTGTATAGACTGAAACCAATTAAAAATGTAAACAGAAAGATATTCTTTTATTTATATAATTGTATAGTTAGTTAATAATTCAAGATTTTTGTTTTAGGGTGTAGGGTGGCAGAATGGGCTAACGTGTGCACAGGATCGCGAGTTGCTCGGCTGCCAGATAACCAAGTTTTGAGATTGGAAAAAGTACGAGTTCGCGTCCCGGTGCCAGAGGGAATTTTAAATTCTGTGTCTTCACCCTGCGGCCCGGGAAAGTGCTGTATAGTGCCTAAAAGGCAAGGTAGGGAGGGAAGAACAGAAAAAAAAAACAGATTTTTTGAGAAGGAGTTAGTCAGAGGTGCGGTCAGATAAATACTAAATTAAAATATAGTAATTATTTTATTTTAATTTTGCCGACGTTTCGACCCACTTTGCAGGTCGTAGGATGTAGCATTGCAGGAGGCAGTTGAAACACTGCTATGTTTTAACTGCCTCCCGCAGTGCCACATCCTACGCCCTGCAAAGTGGGTCGAAACGTCGACAAAATTAAAATAAAATAGTTACTATATTTTAATTTAGTATTTATCTGACCGCACCCCTGACTAACTCCTTCTCATGTTATATCAACAGTCAACCATCTCTACATCAAAAAAGATTTTTGTTTTACATTAGTTGAAATAACACTTTGATATGAAGAATGAATATTATTTAGAAGTACTAATATACTTTACAATGTAAATGAAATAATTTAATGGATAAAGTTGGAGCCATAATTGATAGAAGTGTTAATTTGTTGCTTTTGGTTGGCATTCATATCATATTGTGGAAAAATCGATTTCATTTTCTGTTATTTATCTGTCATTACTATATCAGCGTGTATAATATATTCATTTCTGTGAGTATAAAACATTATGCGAACAAAAGAACATGTATATATTCATACGTATATATATATGAATATTTTAACAAAGAGTGAAATAAGCAAGATACTTCAAAATTTTAATGTTTGTTTTTTATTAAATAATAGGAGGAAATTTTCTTCATTATGAGTAAGGGAGATGAATAATAGGCAGGTTATATAAAAAGAAATTTAACTAGTGATAAAAACTTATATTTACAAAAAAATTGAATTACAGTAATTGTATTCGATTTGAAGAAAAGTATGTACAGAAAGAAATATGTACAATTTCCAACTAACTTTGACACAACACTAAGAACTAAGAAATAACTTGAGGGGGGGGAACTTGTTCTTCTTCTGTTGGCACTAGATCACCCAAAGAACAAACTGAAAAACCAGGAATTGATGGTTCAACTAAATTCATAATTAATCTTTCGTGTTGAACATTGGAACGGTCAACATACAGCCTTACAACAAGACGATCAAAGGCGTGGAAAACAATATCGCCAGCTCGTTGTGTGTGATCCTGAAAGAATGAAATATAAGTATTGGTAAATTAGGTAACAAGGTTAAAAAAGTCTTAATGCAGTGAAACCAAAGCTTAAAGAATAATTCAAAATATTTTTTCTTATTATAAATTGACTGGAATAATATATTTTTTACAACATAAAGGCCCATTAAAATGATTAGTTAAAAAAATCCAAAACAACAACAATGATGATATTTATTGATACTTACATCATTATTAAAAACAAAAGGACTTGGGTTCTTCTTATCCTTGGAGGAGAGCAGCAAAGTGCCTTCCAGGCCATATTTTGGAATCAGAACTTGAAGAGCATTCTTCCTGACAAACAGGATGTAACCTTCTTCGTTCTCAATTCTTTCACGAAAGAACAACTGTAATAAACAAATTAATAGCATAATAATTCTCAATCACCATCACCTACCAATTCTAATAAAGAATCAAAAACATTTTTAATTGTATTGTAATGAGATATAAACACCTTAATTTAACCTAAGAAATAAAATTAATGCCAAAATTAAAACATGCAATGCAAAGTAGTTAAAAAACAATTTTAAATAAAAAACTAATTCCATATTCAATCTTGTTGATTCAATCAAATTGACATAGTGAAACCCTTGTCATATATTAATCCTGAAAACAATTAGTAATATTCGACGAAATGAAACAACCTTGTGTCGAGAGTGAGCAAGTCATAAATTTTCTACTTTGATTAAAAAAATTAAGCATGGCATTTCATTTAATTCAGTTTTTATTTCTGAAAATACTTAAGTTCCTTAAAATGCTGAAATATATATATATACATATATCCATGTCTAACATTTTTATTGATTGAGTACACTGGCACCCAGTCCTTCAACAAGGTTCATTATAAAACAGGCAATGATAGAGTATCCTTACTGAGCAGTAGATAAGGAAAGCGAAGTGATCAACAATAACAAAAATTAAAAAAAAGTTACTGACATGAGTATGCAAAGCGACAGAGGCTCTTCCAGCGTACTGAGCCATTCTTTTTCTGTAATTCAAATTTTGACATAGTTTATCCGTCTTTCTCTTGTCCATGAGATCTGGGTATGTTGCGTCAGCACCAATACAAGCAGCTAGAAGTCTGTGCACGATCACATCAGAATACCTAAAATGTCATATGATATATGTTACTAAGGTGGAAAAAGCAAAATTTTCATCAAAAGAATCCATTAATGTAAAATATAGAAGTTATCAAGATCATAACAATGAATACACTAACCTCCTGATAGGGGAAGTGAAATGAGTATACAACGGGGCAGCTAAACCATAGTGAAAGAACTCTGATCTTTGGGTTACACCGCTGGCAAAATAGACAGCTTGCAGCATGCAACGAGTAGCCAATATTCTCAGCATAACGTTGAAGTAACTGTCGTTAGGTTTTATCGCTTTATCCAGGCTCTCCGACAGTTTCTTGCTGTTCGAAATATCTATTTCAAAACCCTAAAAATCATTTATTAACTATTGAAAAATTAACCATCTCTTAAATTATGAATTAAATAGATGTGTGAATAAAAATTAAAAGTAAAATTTGTTATGTTACTACACTGGGTTAGCAGCTGAAATCAACAAAAAATAAATTACAAATATAGTAATAGATTATCTTTATGCTACAACGTAACAGTTTCAAGACTATAATAAAAATTTCAAAATACTGAAAAAGTAAAATAATTTTATCATCAAAAATCAATGAACACACCAAAATAAATTTGAGGTGTTGTGTACTTATTAATTTATAATGATTATGTAAGCTAAAAAGTGAGACCAATTCTGAATCATAGATTGCAGCTCATCCTCTAGCTTATAAAATTTCTTGACTTTTTTAAAAACTTTTAACGACGATGGACTCATGTATGATTTGAGAGCCTTTTGGGCTTGTTTAAATCATGGAGTGCTCAGTGATGAATTCTATTTTCAAATTATCTTGTGGGCTTTTATCAATTGTATAAAAGTTAGTTATAAAAAAGTTTTGAAGGATGCCCTAAATAAAAAGATCAATAAAATTACTTGACTTTTCCAGGTCTGTTAGACGTACTCAACAGAGGTTATTACCTCATCAAGTATTAATTGTTATAAAATACTAATTGAACCTGGTGATGAGCAGCTTTGATTAGAGGATCGAAATTCGCTGGTGGAGGTTCCGGGTGGCGTCGAAGGAGTGCGACTTCAGGAAATTCCTCCAATATCTTTTCTGCTGTTGATACATTAGCCAGAAGCATAAACTCTTCAACCATCGAATTAGTTTCTCTCATTTTCTTGGAAACCACTTCTAGCGGCTCATGAGTCTCAGAATCAACTCTAAATCTAAATTAATAATATAATTTTCAAATAAGAAATTGATTAATCATTCAAAAAATAATATAGTAATATAAAGAACCAACTAAAAATATATTTTTTTCCCTGTTATTTGATTGATAATATAGATAAGGGGTCTCTAAGCCAGATTCAGCCTACTGTTTCTAAATTTCTATGATTTCCTAGTAAAATTTTAAAAATATAAAATCAAGAAAATTAATTACACACAAGGTTACTAAATTTATTGCATATTTTTTTTTTTATTTTATAAAGCTCATTTCACAGCTGAAGTGTCATTTCACACCTAATTTATAGAACAGGTGCGGCCAACGGAACTTAGTCGAGGTCTCAGTGTGGACAAAAAGTTTGGAGACCTCTGATATAGATTGAATGCAAGATAATTTAAAAAAAACAAAAACATTTTAAAAAAAATATAGACAACATTAATATTAATCAATAGCACATTTTAAAATTTTTTTTCAATATAACAGGAATCAATAAGAAAAATATATTAAAGTATAAAATTTTATCTTTACATTTCATGTTAAGTGTAGGACATTATAAAATCTTATGGGGATGAAAGAATGTAGAGTATAAAAGTTGTAACACTGAGAAGCGGCAGAGACCCCATCTCCCATCCCCTGTGTTCTCTATCATCTTCCCCTCCCTCAGAAGAAATGTATTGCTTTCTTCCTAAAAATGGTGAAAGCATAAGGAGAATTTAAAAAAAATTTATTTTATGCATAGCTGTGCTGTTTGTTCCTTGATTTTAAAGTCCCTTCAATTTAAAACTTCACAAAAATTCATAACCTTTTCTAAATGTCCTACCTTAAAAATTCAAAATCCCATAAAACTTTCCCCTCCAAAAAAATATATGGCCCGACCCACCCCATCTGACTCCCTTCTGGACAATTGTGTAGAAAAATAGAAAGCCCGACCACCCTGACAAGTTGACTAGAATATTTAATCAGAGTGTAAGGAGGATAAGTGCTTCTCCCCTCATGGAATCCTATTACTGTAAGGAGGATAAGTGCTTCTCCCCTCATGGAATCCGATTACTGTAAGGAGGATAAGTGCTTCTCCCCTCATGGAATCCTATTACTGTAAGGAGGATAAGTGCTTCTCCCCTCATGGAATCCTATTACTGTAAGGAGGATAAGTGCTTCTCCCCTCATGGAATCCGATTACTGAAGTATTACCTGATCTCTGGCGAGGCAAGGGACAAGGCTCCATTCTCCATTCTACGCTTCTTGAGGACTTTGGCAAGAGTGTTTAATCCACGTAGTGATTGAGCTAGTTCACTCTCATCAGACACATCATCAATAATGGCCTGTGCTGCTTCGTACGTCATTGCAGCTTTGGACTTGATAACTGACTTGTGAAACCTACAACATCAAAAGATAGCAATCATTTTATCAATAATATTAAATGATATAATAATTGTCAAAAAACTAGCATTACCTTGTTGAAATTATCTCGGCATTGGGAGTGAGCTCCCAGATACAAGAGAAAGAAAGCCTTTCTTCGCCTCCTCGGAGGGAACAGAGGTTCGAACTCAGCAAGTCTGCATATTCATAAATGACAACATTTACTTGATGTATCAAAATTAATTTCCCATCATTTATTAATTTTATGAAAGTATAAAATGAAATGATAAAGCTTCTAAAATTCCAATGCCCTCCCTTCCACTTTCACTACTCGATAAACCCATTCAAACACAATAAAGCTGCATTATAAAAATATTTACCCGGAACCATGTCAATCCTCTTATCTACAAGATAGACGGTAGTAGCCCTCAGCGCTGCCTCCTTGTCCAAGGCTGTCCCCGGCCTGATGAAGTGGCTCACGTCTGCAATGTGGACTCCGGCCTATAGAAAAGTTATCTCAATCACTACATTCAATTTATGCTAACATGGCTATTATCATCAATATGCAAAATACCTCATAGTTTCCATTCGGAAGTTTGAAACAATGCAAAGCATCATCAATATCGGTACAACCAGGTGGATCGACTGAGCAAACGATAATGTTTCGAAGATCAACTCGTTTTGCAAGTTCCTAAAATAAATTTGATATAAATATAAAAAATTAAACAATAATAAATTGAAAATGGTTACAAATTATGTAGAATAAATTAGAATATGAAAAAGAATAATTTTTTGCGCAAGAATAACAATAAACTCTTAAACACCAACATTTTGAACAAATCATGAGTGAGTGTCGAGGGCATTGCACTGGCTGTATAACAACTATCAGCCACAGATCAATTCACAATAGTCACCTTATTTTTAGCCTTTGTATATTTATTTAATTTTTATATAATTAAATAATAAAAGTCATTCCAGAATGTTGATAAGATTTCAGATTTGACTCAATGAGAATTGATGCCTCATATATCTATTTTTCTAAATTTGAGAGCACAATTAAATTGTATAAAGTATTTTTGGACAAATAAATATGTAAGGCATCTTCAAAATGGTTCTTTACTGCACATTTAAATAATTAGAAAACTGTTTTTTTCTGTTGGGCACGATGAGTTTTATCTTTAAGCCCAGCAAAGAAACTGATTATTAAGTAGCTTTTTCACTCCCTACTAAGGTTTCATTACTTAAGTAGTTATTTATTAATTGCTTAAGGATTTATAATTTCACACAAAAAACATTCATTCCTTGATTCATTTCACATTTTCTATAATATAAGCATATCCTGCAATCTTCTAGCATTTGAAAAAAAATACTTTGTAAAATGGTTTGCAATACAATACAATCAAATTTATTGTAAAATCACATTATTATATTCAGCAAGGTTATTAAGGTTATGATATTAATATAACACATGTGTGATAAAAAAATTAATAATTACAGTTTAATAAGAGAGCAAAAACTAAAATAAAACGCAATCCTATTTCTTATTTTTGATTCATAAAATAAAATCACTGGTATACATTATCAATTGGTTAAAGTTTTCAATTTATAAGTTAAGTAACCAAATTGCATAGTAATTAAAAAATTAACTAAAAATTGATGTTATGAAAAACATATGTAAAAGGTAAAATAAATCCAATTTAAATTTTGGCAGGTATATTCTATTCAGTATAACTAACATGTATAACTAGGCTGTTTTCTAATAAATACAACAAAATTGAAATTATATTTTTCTTATTTGGATTAGTGCCTACAAAAAGACAAAAAAATAAAAAGATAAAGTTAGAAGATGGATAACACAATAAACGATCTGCTTGGTGAACAAAATGATTTCGAATTCTGTGACGATGGAGCGAATGAAGCAAGTAAAACATCTATCAATGAAAATAGTGAAGATGAAAGAAAATCAGCTGAAAGGTAAAAATTGTATCAGCCAACTAAAAGAAATTCTACTTCGCTTAAAACAAGATGCTAAAGTTCAATTCAATCAAAACTAATAAAACAAAAAAACAGAAGACATATTAAGCACAATACACACATACAGACAAACAACTTCTTGGCGAACCTTCTCCATCTACATAACTTTAGACAGCTTCCATGTCTCGTACACCATCTTGAACTTAAATAAAAATATTTCTTCCTATAAATTTATTTATTATTGTTTTCTGCGACGTGTTCTAGTCATTAGACCAGACCTTCGTCAGGCTAAACTTATTTGTGACGGTCCTCAATTGTCAAGCAAGAGAGGAGAGCCAACACAAATAAGCCTATAAGGTCTAAAGAATGAAACCAGCCACGGAAGAGAATAATAAATAAGTATACTGAAATATACTTATATAAATAGGAATCCCGAGAATGGCTAAGTGTATGCGAAAGTAGTCTGGACCCGATCTCAACTGTAAAGGACCCACAGGGAGTTTGCCAAAGCTGTAAACCGCAATTTAAATAAAAATATATACCATGAACATATAGATCCTCGGACTCCCATTTATACTGTGATAATGAGATCTTGACCCACTTGACAAAGCGGAGTGACACTTGTTCAGTAGCACCATTTAACTATTTTCTTATCATATTGGATTTCAGAATATGTAAGATTTGTTTAATGATAAACACCCTAAGATTTCAAATGATTTCCTCTTAAAAGTAATTTTAAAAACAACAGGGAGGATATCATGAAATATTAATTGCTTCAAAACTATATCAGTCATTCTCAACAGCAGCCTAAAAGACTGAATCATAACAAAATAATCAAAATTATTCTTGGTATATATTTTTGGCATGTAGCAGAGTTTTATGTACTATTTTCATGTCAAATAATGTCACAGCCTATTTGGGAATTGCTATTTAATTGCCAGTTAAATAGATACCTAACACAAAGAGCTATTTAAAAAACAACCATTTCAAAGAAAATGATGCCATAATAAATTTTAGAAAAAAGAAAACTGAAACTTCTGAAAGCTCTCTAAGCATAAAAGATGAAGAAGGTGTGAAAAGTTTTAATGGAATGACAACTCTCTTTTCACAACTAGAAAAAAACTTGAAACTTTTTAAAAATCTTCCAGAATTGAAACTGATAGATAAGTATGCACTGTAAGTAGATTAAACTAACAATTAGCCAAAGTCTCACTTAATGTTTAGCAAAGTATCAATTTATGTCTGCCAAGTAGGGTTATATCTTCCTCACTGTTTCTATTGATTACATAACTTGTTATATTTTAAAGTTAATGATTTGTCATTAAAAAATGAAATCTTTAGAGTAGATTCTCTTCAAGCCTTGTCATGTCATGTATTTATCTATATCACATTTGCTGAATGTTTATTAATTTGTACAGTAGTAAATTTCATAAATAATAATAAAAAAAACAACATGAAATCTGGGGCAGAAGCCATTTTAAAAGTATCAAGTGTCAAGGTAAAATGCATACCTAAGTGAAAAAAGTAGACAAATTTTGATAAAATTGATGATTGGACCACCTAGATATCAAACTTTAGAATCCCTAAAATCTTCACCAAATTGAATTAACATCTAATAAAGTAGGTCTTTAGGGCCGGAGTATTCGTACGGGCTAAAGCGCTTGCAATTGGTAATCAAAGTTAAGCAACGTCGAGCGCGGTTAGTACTTGGATGGGTGACCGTCCACTAGGGAAAGCCATGCTGCCCGAGACTTCCCCCCGAAGAAGAAAAAAAAAAATTAGGTCTTTGGTAGCTTATTAAAGCAAGTGTTATACCTGCCACATGCAAACAACTACAGAAAGTCACACAATTTAATTTAACAATTTATAAAACCTGCCATTACATTACCATATCCCTCATCCGGTGGAACATTCACATAAGTGCAAATCAAACAATTTTATTTTATAGGAGTGCCAAAATAATTAGAATTATTATTAAATAAACAACACAATTTTTAAAAATAGATTGTGCCAGCATAAAAGTGTTCTATCCATTCAAATTTCGCTCATGTCATTCTATTACATTGATCCTATTAAACAGGTCTTGCAGGCAATAGTGCTAGATAAAACAGTTTTCCAAACTTTTACAGTTGCATTGTGACTCCACCAGATGAATGATATGTTTATTGCTATTCACATTTCACAACCTTTATATTCTTAGAATCAGTTAGGTTAATTTAAATTAATAAATGGAATTTGATGAAATTAATACTTGACCATTTGTACACTGTTCACCAAATTTCATTCAACTTAGGACCAATTTTTTCCAAACATAAATATCAATGAAAATGCATTACTGCATCAGCAAATGCAAGTAATTGATAGAATTTTAAGAACTTAAAAAGAAGCCATCTAGATATCAACCAGCACAATCCATGAAAATCTTATGAAAATTGGATGAATCTTGATACTTAAAATACAAAGCTCATGGAAATTTTTTATTTTAAACACAAACATTTTTTTAATCTCCTGCACAAAGCTTTATTACCTTCACTGACGAGGAAGCATAAATTGAAATACAAAGCTGTAAAGAAAAGTGAACACATTGAAGTCATAGGTAGGCAATCCGGTAATCTGTCAACATTATTAAAAATAAATAGAAATGAATCCAGTAATACAAACCGTGTCACAATATTGTTGTGTAGGTGCCTCAGTTCAACGCAGGGTGGCCCAACTGTGAGAGATTATTATAGACAAAATTTTTAATGAAAAAGTTCATTTGATGCATGGGCTGAGTCCGAATGGGAAACGAGACTAATTTTGTGTTATTCTTAAGGTGGTCTCGGTTTTTATTGAATAAGAAGGAATTGCTTAAAAAATGTTCAAGATAATAAAATTATAAGTACATCATCGTAAAATAGACAACAGTTTTTGCGAAAACAGTGTTTAAATTCACCAAGGCCAACGATAAAAGGGACTTTCAGGAAGGCTAATACAGCTGCTGTACAGAGATATGCTGTTCGTGTATAAGTAGTAGACAGCCGCATTAGACCTCCTGAAAGTCCTTTTTATCATTAACTTTAGCAAATTTAATCGCTGTTTTCTCAAACACATTTTGTCTACTTTATGATGGTATAATTAGAATTTAATTATCTTGAACATTTTTTAAGAAATTCCTTCTGATTCAATAAAAATCCTGACTACCTGCATTAAATGAACTTTTTTGTTGGAAATTTTGTCTGGAATCACCCCCTAAAGTTTAGCCATTAAGAACTGAGGCACCCAGTATTAAACCACAGTTCTGAAGAAAGTGGCCCATATATACATAAAGCAGTGGCTCATATATACATAAAGCAGTGCAAAAAAATTGTAAATTAATAGAAATGAGTTATCAAGTAATTTAATTAGTTCACTTGTGTGATTTACCTGTAATAGCGAATACTTTTAAGATAATGGACCAATTTAATGAAGAGTTAAGTTTCTCAAAGAACAAACTCGAAATAAAAAAAAAAAATGTTAATCTGATTTAAGGGATTTGAAAAAGAAATTAGATCGTGAGCTTGAAGAATTAGATTTCACAATGAAAGAAACAAAAGCAACAATAATTAACACGAGGCGCCTTAAAAAGCAGCGCTACTATGTCAAAAAAGAATTAGCACGCATGACCAAAAATCTAACCAGGGTCAAACAAGAAGGTATTGCATAGGTCCTAATTAAATACACGATTGTACTCTGTAC